TATGGGATGCTGGGAATCGAACCCAGGTCGGCCGCATGCAAGGTAAACGCCCTACCCGCTGTGCTATCACTCCAGCCCCTCAACCAGTGTTTTTTATTTTCTTCTTTTTGCTTTGTTTTGTTTTGTTTGGGAGCCATACCCAGTGGTGCTCAGGACCGACTCCTGGCTCTGTACTCATGGGTCAATCCTGGCGGACACAGGGGACCCTCTCTGGTGCCAAGGATCAAATCCGGGTTGGCTGCATGCAAGACCTGCATGCACCCTCCCTGCTGTGCTGTCACTCTGACACTTCAAGTCTTCTTTGGGTTCTCAAGGCGAGGCCCTTGGGAGAAGCTGGGTCAGGCCTTTCCTAGGTCTAGAATGTCCAGAGGGGGGTCCACTCCCCCACTTTTCCTGGGGGGACTGAGCAGAGTCAGGCTTAATCTAAACTCTGAGGAGGGCAGAGGAGTGAATGCCCCTGGTGGGGCTGCGCCCTGAGTTCTGGCGTGAGGGCTCAGGAGAGTCGGTCTGAGGAGGAGGTGGGGGTGAGGGTCCAGGGGCTGTGTAGGAAGAAGACAGGACAGAAGGCTGGAGTGCAGTCCTGGGGTCTCCAGGCCAGGCACAGAACCTTCTAGAAGGCTAGGCAGGTCTTGGGACCTCCTCACAGCTGCAACTCTGCTTTGAGTTTCTCCGCTGAGGGTTCTAAATCAGTTCCACTGTCACCTGCCTTCCTGGGTTCCCCAGTCCAGTGGCTGCCAGGCCCCTGGGGTGGCGTGGGTGGAGAAAGAACTCGATGCAGAGAACTCAGGATGTCACCCAGAGGCAAACTGGATTGGCCAGGTGGAGAGAGAAGGTGCTACCACCTTCTAATATGAGGGTGGGAAGCCAGCCAAGCAGCAAAACAGGGGACACAGGGACCCGCCCGACCTGAAGGTGCCCACATGGCACCGGCTGTTGGACTGATTAAGGAACAGCCGACATGGAACCGGGAGGTAGCGCCAGTACCCTCGGGGGCAATGGTGGGAGTGGGGGGCACGTGGCGAACGGGACAAGGGCAAGGCCAGATGCCAGCCCTGCATGTAGCCCTTTAACTGGCTTGCTCTCAGCAGAGGCCACAACAGCCCAGCACTGAGCCTCAGCAGGCAGCAGGGAAGGCAGACTGGCTTGTGATGAGACCTGACCCTATGGCTGGGGCGTCCTCCCTTGGGGCTGGGGGCTGGGGGAAACATTCAAGGCCAGGTAGGAGTTCTAAGGTGCCCAGAGCTAAGAAGCACTGAGGCCAGGAGGACGAGGAGCCCTTGGACACTCATCTTCACTCACTCAGCAAACTGCCACTCACTCCTCCACTTTGACTCATTCGTCCACATCTCTGCTTGTTAATAACTTCATTCATTCATTCATTCATTTGTACCTTCATCCATTGGCACTTTCATGCATCCACACCCTCATCCATACCTTCATTCATCCACACCTTCACTCATACCTTCATTCGTGCACGTCTTCATTCATTCCCACCTTCATTTACTCACACCTTCATTCATCTACACCTTCATTCATACCTTCACTCATCCACACCTTCATTCATTCACCCCCTCATTCATATTTTCATTCATCCGCACCTTCATTCAGTCACCCCTTCATTTATCCACACCTTCACTCATACCTTCATTCATCCACATCTTCATTTATACACACCTCCATTGAACCTCACCTTCATTCATTCATACCCCCCATTCATTCACATCTTCATTCATACCTTCATTCATCCACACCTTCATTCCTGCCTTCATTGATCCACGCCTTCACTAATTCATACACTCACTAATGCATTCCCACCTTCATTCATTCACCACACTTTCACTCATTCACTCACACCCTACCTCATTCCCACATTCATTCATTCATTCATTCACTCATTCGTACATTCCATCAAGTTCTGGTTGTACTCGGCGGTTCTCTGGCGTCCCGGCGCTGGCCGTGACCTCTGACTGGGAGGCCCTTAGCGCCCAAGGGATGGGAGGACAGGACGCCCTCATATTTATTAACCGGGTAGCTATGTAGGGAAGGGCATAGGCGATCTGCTAGAGATAGAGGAGGAAACAGGTCCCTTAGATGTCAATCAGCCTGGTAACCGCCCCCCTACTCCCGCCCACTGGGCTAACTCTGCCCGGCAATTGGTGACGTCACAGGCCCGCGTTCGACCAATGAGGGGACAGCTCTCCTGGCGCCGCGCTGCGCGGATCCGGGCCGTTGACCGCGCGGCGACCACCCTAGCCCCTGAAGCTCCACGTCTGTTCCTGTGCGAGTAACAGTGGTGGTTTCAGCTCAAATGTACTTAATGCGGATGTGTGCCAGTCTCTGTCGTAACCGATTTTACCTCGATTCCCGCTCTCCCTGATTGCTGCTGTTGATGTGGGGGCAGGGGCGGGCTGCATTGCAGGCTGTGCTTGGGGCTGAGGCGGCCCTTCAGCAGAGCACAGCGAGGAGGGCGCTGGCTTTGCACGCGGTAACGAGGGTTATTGATCCCCGGCACCCCATAGAGTCCCCTGAGCACCGCCAGGAGTGATCCGTGAGTGCAGAGCCAGGAGCATCGCCAGGTGTCACCCCAAACAAACACTGTCTGTATCACTTTCATCCTGTTGGTTATCGATTGCCTCAATCAGGCCCCAGTAACGTCTCCTTCGTCCTAGCCCTGAGATTTTAAAAAGTGCCACATTCGAGGCTCTTTCAGGGTCAGGAGAATGAGACCCATCATTGTTACTGGGTTTTGGCATATTGAATACGCCACAGGGAGTTTGCCAGACTCTGCCATGCGGGCAAGGTTACTTTTGATAGCCTGCCAGGTTCACCAGAATAAGACCTTGATAATAAGAAGCCGCTCGGCCTTGAATGCTTCCGGGAGCAGGGTTTTATAGTCTCTGGGTCTTGGCCGTTGATGGGATTACACCGCGCCGGGGGCAGTTGGTGGGTGTAACACCTGGAAGATGGGGGATCTGGGTGGAGGAGGCCCAGTCCCAATCCAAACAGGCTTGGAGATCTACGGCCTGGGTCCCGCACACCTGGGTTCCTTTGCCGGTCCTTTCCCAAAACAAAACAAACAAAAAACCCACCCTTAGCCCTCTGAACCTCCCCTCAACCCAGCTTTCCCTGTTTGGGGGTTGGTTTGGGTTTTGGTGGGGTCACGCTCAGCAGAGCCCAAGCAGTATCGGGGCTGGAGCAGCTGCGTGCATGGTGCCCGTCTCTTCCACCGTGCTAAGATTCGGAGCATGTACTTCCATATATATTGCTCACTCTTTGCCAAACACACAGTTCTTTTTTTCTTTTATTTTTGGGGCTTCACCTGGCAATACTCAGTACTTCTGGCTCTGTGCTCAGGGATCACTCCTGGTGGGCTCCAGAGAGTGAGATGGGGGGGCTCGAACCCGGGTTGGCCACTGTAAGGCAAGCACCCTCCCAGCTGTACCGTTGCTATTCCCTCCTCCAGGAACACAGTTCTAAGAATATTTAATGGAGGGCCAGAGCAATAGTATAGCAGGAAGGGCATTTGCCTTGCACATGGCCAACCCAGGTTCGATCCTCAGCATCCCATATGGTCCCCTGAGCATTGGCAGATATGACCCAAAAAGCGCAGAGAGAGAGAGAGAGAGAGAGAGAGAGAGAGAGAGAGAGAGAGAGAGGGAGAGAGGAGTCTTAAGGGTTCAAATCAGCCCCCAGAGGTAACAATTAAAATCAGCTCTATTTTGTGGATGATAAACTAAGGCACAGGGCCAGAGAGATAATTCATGAGTTAAGGCATGTGACTTGCATGCAGCCAACCCTGGTTTCATCCCTGGCACAGCAAGGCCCCCAGCCCATCACCAGGGACAGTCCTGAAGACCCCAACACTGCCAGGTGGACCAACTAATCCCCACTGTTTGCACTTAATGTCCAGAAGGACCCCCAGGCCTCCTGAGCACTGATTTTATTTTGTTTGGGGGCCACACCCAGCGGTGCTCAGGGCTTACACCTGGTGGGGCTTGGGGAACCGTATGAGATGCCAGGGATTAAACCTAGTTGGCTGCATGCAAAGCAAATGCCTTACCCACTGTACTATCTCTCTGCCCACCCCCCTTCTCCAAGTTCTTTTTAACCAAGAGTGGGCTCTTGCCTTGCACGCAGAGTCTGAGAATCAAACCAGGATCAGACGCATGCAAAGCAAAGTAACTTAAGCCTGTGGTCTCTGGCCGCCCCTGACTGATCTTTCAACATTTCTTTCTGGAAAGTTTCCCTCTGAGTTCAGCCATGTGTACCCACCACAGTGAGCGGGGCATTGAGCCTGTAAAGTATCAAGACCAGCAGGGCTGGAGCGATGTTCCCAGCATCCCATATGGTTCCCCTAGTACCACCGGAAGTAATTCCTGAGTGCAGAGCCAGGAGTAACCCCTGAGCATCACTGGCTGTGACCCCCCACCAAAAAAAAGAAAAAAGAAAACCTTGACCATTCCCACCTCCCCAACACCAGGCTAGGTTGGGTAGCTGGTGAGAGAGGGACAGGTCAGGTCAATTGTTCCATCATTTGGGGTCTCAGTGCTCTGTGGAGCACTCAGATCAAAATGAGCCTCTGGCCTTGCAAGCCATGTGCTTGGGCTCTCTCTGCACCCCGGCCCCCATTTATAAAATGGGAGCGTTGCTCAGCATCCTTCCTTGGATGGGGGCATGGTGAAGACTGACTCAATGGAAAGTGCTCCTTTGGCAACTGTGACACTCCCAATGTTAGTTGCTGTGTGTCTTGAGGCAAGTTACTCAACCTCTCTGTGCATGGGGGAATACTCTTCCTCATTACCCCTTGGGTGGTGAGGGTCTGCAGCAGTGGAGAGGAAGTTCCTTCCGGTCCCGCCAGTGGGGACCCTCTGCTGCCACTTGCCTCCATGTGTCTGGGTACTTGGGGACGCGCTCAGATGCAGTGCTGCCTGCTGGGGCCTCTGTCCTCCCCGCTCAGCCTCCCCCAGCTTGGCTCATTGTGGCTCCTCCCCCCTCCACAGTCAGCAGCTGTCTGGCGAGTACTTCCGGTACAAGGGGGTCCCCATCCCCGTGGGCCTCTACTCCCCTGAGAGCATCAGCTTTGTGGAGAATGGCCTGGACGTGCGGGACGACGACATCTTCATCCTCACCTACCCCAAGTCAGGTACCGCGGGAGGGCCAAGCCTATGTGTGCACATGTGTGCATGCCCATGGATGTAGAGAACTTGCGTGCATGTGTGCATGTGTGTGAGTGTGCGTGAGTGAGCATGTGTTGCGTTTGTGCACGTCTGTGCATGCGTGTCTGCTTGTGTGTGTGCATAGTGAGTTGCGTGTGTTTTGTGTGTAGAGTGAGTGTGTAGTGTGTGTGCATACTGTGTAGTGTGTGTAGAGTGTGTGCATGTATGCGTGGTGAGTGCGGAGTGTGTGTATGTGTGTGGAGTGAGTGTGTGCGTGTGTGTGTGGAAATGTGCATGTGTGTGCTTTGTTTATAGAGACACAGGGTGAAGCAACAGTACATGGGAAGCATACCTGCCTTGCAAGCAGCTTATTGGGGTTTGATCCCCAGCACACTACAGGGTCCCCACGCACCACTGCCTGATCTCTGAGCATAGAGCCCTGAGCACTGCCAAGTATGACCCTCAAATCAATCAACCATCTACAAGCCTTCAAAGCATTAGTGAGTCACTGATGCAGATGATGGCAAGTGTCCAGCAGTCACCACTCCCCCCCCCCACCCCCGTGCCTCCTTACACGAATCAGGGCTTGGCCTGAAAGCGGGGCCAGAGACAAGAGCTGTGATCTTTCACGCGTGCATTTTTTGCATGCGCTGGGCATGCATAGATACACACAGCCTCGAGTCCACACCTGGGCCCCCAGGACTCCATTCCAGCCCAGTTTCCAGGTACTATGACCACTCCTGTGAGTCACAAGCCAGATCTGGTCATTCTGACACAGCGGTATCCCAGGGGCTGGAACCACAGTTTATCTCTGATTCCAGTCAATTCCTTTTTTAAAAAATTTTAATTCTTTTTCTCCAGTCAACTCCTAAGAGTGAGGATGGGTGGGGGACAGGGAGGGCAGCTGGGAAGTGCTAGGCATCCCAGCAGGGGGCCTGCAAGGAACATCACTGGAGGGAGGGGAGGAAAGTGGTCATGGCTATGAGCAGCACACACCAACAGTCTTGACCATAGGAGGTGGGGGCTTCCCTGTATTAGCTCATGATCACTTGGTGGGTCCCAGGCCAGTCTCCACCACAGCCCACTTCCCAGCTTGGCATTCTGATGAGTAACTTGGGATTTTGTTTTGTTTCGTTTTGAAGTTTTGTAGTCACACTTGGTAATGATCCGGGATTACTCCTGGCAGTGCTCGGGGAACCCTATGGAATGCTCGGGTTTGAACCCAGGTCAGCTGCATGCAAGGCAGATGCACAATGAAACAGTACTATCTCTCAGGCTGTACTATCACTCAGGCCCCTCAGTTTCTCTTTGTGACTGAGTTTCCTGTTCTGACAATACTCGGACAATCGACAGTCTCTTCTCCCTGCCAGGCGCCCCTCAGCTGGGCTCCATGAGCACTGACCAGCCTCAATCCCCTCCAACACACACAGGCACCCACTGGATGATCGAGATCCTCAGCTTGATCCTGAAGGACGGGGACCCTTCCTGGATCCGCTCCGTGCCCATCTGGGACCGGGCCCCCTGGTGTGAGATCATCCAGATGGTCTCCAAGTGCCACGAACTCCCCTCCCCGCGCCTCCTGAGCTCCCACCTTCCAATCCAGCTCTTCACGAAGGCCTTCTTCAAATCCAAGGCTAAGGTACCATTGGGCAGGCAGGGAGCGGCTGGGGTGGTCTTCATGGACAGGGGATAGACAGGTGGGGGGATGGATGGACAGATGAGTATGGATGGATGGGGGGTGGATGCATGGGTGGATGCATGAGAGGAAGGAAGAAAGAAAGGAAAGAGGGAAGGGAGGAGGAGGAAATGGGGGTAAGAAAGGAAGAAGGAGGAAAGGGGAAAGGAAGGAAGGTGGGAAGGAGGGAAGGAAAGAAGGAGGAGGGAAGGGAGGAAGGAGGGAGGGAAAGTAGGAAGGAAGGAGAGAAGGAAGGAGGAAAGGAGAAAGGAGTGGAAGGCAGGAGGGAGGGAGGGAGGGAAGGAAGGAAGGAAGGAAGGAAGGAAGGAAGGAAGGAAGGAAGGAAGGAAGGAAAGACTCAGTTCACGTTTACTAAGCACCTACGAAACCTGGCTATAAACTGGTCTGGCTCTAAACTCATGACTCAGCCAACGCACAGAAGTGCCTGTCCTCTGGCCAAAGCCATGGAAAGTGGGTAGGGGGCTCACCTTGCCCCTGGGTTCCATCCCTGGCATTCCATGTGGGCCCCTGATTAATTCCAGGAGTGATTCCTGAGCATAGAGCCAGGAGGAATCAACCCTGAGCACTACCTACCAGGTTTGCCTCCACCCCCCGCAAAAAAAAGAAGAAAATTAAAAAAGAAATAGAAATGCCTGTTTGTGTGCTCAGGTTCTCAAGGGGAACAGACGAGGTAATTAAGCAAATATTTTATATGTCCAGAGTGAAAAATGCACATCGGGAAGGGCTGGGAAAGAGTTGCCAGATGGTTGGAGAGGGTTAAGACCTGGATGGTGAAGAAGGACCCTGGGGTGGCTGGAAGAGCAGGTGAAAAGGTCCTGAGGCCAGCGCCTGAGGCAACCTACAAGGAGGCCTAACTGTCGGGAACCAAGTGAACAAGAGCAAGAGTAGTGGAGACCAGGGCGGAGAAGTAACAGGGTCCGAAGGCTGCGTGCACTGCTGTGGACACGCGTTTTGTTCTCTGAGGTGCCCAGCGCTGCTGGGAGCTGAGGAGGGGAAAGCGGCGCTGTGCGCTCAGTGGCGCCGTCTGGTGGCGAGGTGGGACAAAGCCCCAGGGTGCAGCAGAGATACCTCCAAATACCTCCAAATACGACCCAGGTGGGCCCCACCTGCAAGGCTGAGTGTCCCGTGGGGGACCGTGCCTGTGGCCAGGTCAGAATATCTCTGATGCACAGGGTGGGAGTGGGTATGGACTGTAACACTGCTGAACAAATAGGAAAGGGGCCGAAAGGCTGGGGGTTCTAGCAGGACCCCCGGAGGCCATGTGGCGGTAGGAAGGCCAAGAAGGAGGCTGGAATGGGGGTGGTGGGAACGTGGCGTTAGGGCCAGATTCTATTTTTTTTTATTTTTTGTTTTTGGGTCACACCCGGCCATGCACAGGGGTTATTCCTGGCTCTGCACTTAGGAATCACTCCTGGCAGTGCTCGGGGGACCACATGGGATGCTGGGAATCGAACCCAAGTCAGCCGCGTGCAAGGCAGACGCTCTGCCCACTGTGCTATCGCTCCAGCCCCTTCTATTTCTTTCTAACTCTGGCCTTGATCCCCCCTAGCCTGAACCCCACATCTTTCTCCTCTGCCCTTTATTTCTCAAAGCCAAAATACCCCTACTCCAGAAACGTCCCTTCTTTCTTCCTTAAATGTGGTTGGGATAAGGGATGGCTTTGAGCTACCCCTTGCTGGGGATGGGGTAGGCCCCCTGAATCTTTCCAGCTGCAGGGCCAAGAGAGGGGCTCCAGGGCATGCACCCCGGGGGGTGGATGCTGTGTTGGAGGACAACACCCTCACATCTTCTCCCACCCCCACAGGCGATCTACCTGGGCAGGAACCCCCGGGACGTGCTGGTTTCTCTCTACCATTACTACAAGATCGCTGGGCACTTGAAGGACCCAGGCAGCCCGGACCAGTTTCTGCAGAACTTCCTCAAAGGCGAAGGTGAGGACCCGGGTGAAGCACCGAGGGGGTGGGGTGGGCTGCTCCTGCACCTCCACCCCAGGAAGAGAGACAGAGGAGGGGGGCGGAGGAGAGAGGCAGAATGCGGGGGTCCTAGAGAGTTGGGGTGCGGGTAGGCAGGGGCAGACAGAAGCTAAAGGACAGTGAGAGACGGCAGAGACATGGAGACAGACGAAGAAATATCAAAAGAGGGCTGGAGGACAACTTGCCTTGCAAGGCCAACCAGGGTTCAATCGTTGGCATCCCATACAACCCCCCGAGCACTGCCAGGAGTGAGTCCTGAGCATCGCCAGGTGTGGCCACAAAACAGAGCAAAATACCAGAGAGGAGAGTCTCCTATAAACCAGCCAATGGGGCTAGAGTGATGGCACAACGGGTAGGACGTTTGCCTTGCACACAGCCGACCCGAGTTGATCCCCAGCATCCCATATGGTCCCCTGAGCACTGCCAGGAGTAATTCCTGAGTGCAAAGCCAGGAGTAACCCCTGTGCATCGCTGGGTATAACCCAAAAAGGGAAAAAAAAAACAGGCAAAGATGGTAGGAAGAGATGGAGTAGGGGGCATGTGCATCTCTGTGGGTCCAGGAAGTACCTAAGCGATGGGGCGAGGTGGAGTGGAAGCAGACCGTGAGAGAGAGACGGACACAGGGAGGAGACAGAGACAGAGGCAGGGAGATAGAAAGAGGAAGAAGAAAAGTGCCTGCCATAGAGGCAGGTGTGGGGGGGAGGGGGAGGGGTGGCTGGAGGGATACTGGGACACTGGTGGTGGGAAATGTACACAGGTAGAAGGATGGGTGTTGGAACATTGTATAACTGAAACCTGATCATGAAAACTTTGGAACTGTGTGTCTCATGGTGATTCGATTTTTTTAAAAATTATTTTATTTTATTTTTTAGCTTTTTTGGGGATCACACCTGGCGATGCACAGGGGTTACTCCTGGGCCTGCACTTAGGAATTACTCCTGGCAGTGCTCAGAGGACCATATGGAATTCTGGGAATTGAACCCGGGTTGGCAAGGCAAATGCCCTACCCGCTGTGCTATTGCTCCAGCCCCCCAGATTTTTTTTTTAAGAGAGACAAGGAGACACGGGGCTGGGTGGGGGTGGTGGGACAGACAGAGACAGAGATGAAGCCAAAAATACAATGGGGGGCACTGAGAGGCCAGGCCTGGGGGTGTGGGGGTGCGCAGCCCCTCTGCACTCCCTGCTGGCCCTCACCTCGCCCGCCCTCTGCCCGCAGTGCAGTTCGGCTCCTGGTTCGACCACATTAAAGGCTGGATTCGGATGCGGGGCAAAGAGAACTTCCTGTTCATCACCTACGAGGAGCTAAAGCAGGTGAGGACCACCCCCCCCACACACACATACACTTGCTTGGGCCTAGTATGGCGTCCCCCAACTGGCCCTCCGCCACAGGGGTTGTGGCCAGCAGAACAGAGGCCCCAGCCTGAGCTCAGCCATGGCCAGATCCACCACCATCGGGCAGAGGTGCTGGGAGTCAGGAAAAGGGGTACCCCTGGGTTTTTCTCTGGGTTTTTGCTGGCTTTCCTCTGGGCAGGCAGGAGCCAGAGGGCACTCAGAGCAGGGAAGCCCCAAGGATGAGGTGGTCCCTGAAGGGAGATTTCGGCAAGTCAGGGAGGGTGAAAGCAAACACCCAGTGATAGTCCAGAGAGGACAGCATTTGTCTTGCATGTGGCGAACCCAGGTTCAATCCCCGACATCCCATAGGGTCTCCTGAGCATCACCAGGAGTAATTCCTGAGTGTGGAGCCAGGAATAATAATTCCTGAGCATTGCCGTGTGTGATCCCCACAAAAAAAGAAAGAAAGAAAGCAAAAAAGCAAACAGCCCCAAACCCATCTGGATCTGGACACCACCAGGCAGGAGAGAGGATATGTGGCACAGGGGAGTGAGGGCAGCCTTCCTTGTCTGAGCAGTCAGGGAGGGCTCCCTGGAAGAAGGGGCAAAGGTTTTGAGGGGGCAGAGGAGGAAGACAAGGGCCTTGTAGATGGAACCTTGTAGAGTGGCTGTTTTAGGCTCACCAGGACAATCCACCCAGAAAATTCTCTTTGGATGAAAAGATCCAGCAAAGGTCTTCGCCTTGCCCTTCCCCCACTGCTTTCGCATCCGGCTTTATTCTCCAAACCCCAAAACTGGGCCAGGCGGCCTGGCGGCACCTCTGGGCTACCCCTGGGTGAGAGCAGGCACCAGCGCGCTCGCATTTCTGGGACATGGCAGTGGTTTGAGAGGATGAGGGCCCAGAGTTATGAAACCGAGAATAACCTGGAAATCGGGGCCAAGGGGCTGGCGGGGCACTGCAGAGGGAGAGCTGTTGGGCTCTGGAGGAGTGTCTTTCCATCTCTGGGCCTCTGCTGACAGAGCAATGCTTCTCCCCAAGGCTGCAGGCAGATTGGGGCCACTGTACCCATGGGGCAGGAGCACTGTGACAGGAGCAAGTGCTATCTCGAGAGAGGCCACATTTGAGCTGCCTCTGGTGGCAGGGATGGGAGGGGGAGGAGGGGGGCGGTGTGAGATGCAAAGGGGGAGTGAGGATGGCACAGGGTGGAGAGGAGACAGGTCCACCCTCTCTCAGTCCAGGACGTGGGGTTGTTCACAGCAGGGGCAGGTGGGTGAGGGCCAGGTGTGGAAGGAGGGTATGGGCGGGGGGGCGGTTACCGGGCCAGACCAGGGACGGGGCCTAGGGGACACAGTGGGGAAGGAGAGGGGGTATGCGATGACAAGGTGGGGGGCAGGATGGGGCAGAGGGGCCTGCCAAGGGGCAAACCGGCTTTTTGGATCATACCTGGTGATGCACAGGGGTTACTCCTGGCTTTGCACTCCGGAATTACTCCTGGCGGTGCCCAGGGAACCATATGGGATGCTGGGAATCAAACCCGGGTCAGCCTCGTGCAAGGCAAGTGCCCTACCCGCTCCATCCCCCAAACCAGCTTTTTTTTTTTTTTGCTTTTTTTTGGGTCACACCCAGTAATGCTCAGGGGTTTCTCCTGGATCTGCACTCAGGAATTACTCCTGGCAGTGCTCGGGGGACCATATGTGATGCCGGGGATCGAACCCAGGACGGCCATGTGCAAGGCAAATACCCTACCTGCTGTGCTATCGCTCCAGCCCCCAAACCAACTTATTTTTTTTAACCTATGAGGTCATCCTACATTGCTGACCTCTACCTCTGCTTGCCTCTGATGTCACCAAAATCCCAAATTGGCCAAACCTTGAGTCAGGGTTGGGGAGAAAGTTCAGGGGTGAGGGTCGCCTTGCCTGTGGCGATCCTGGTGTGATCCTGGCAGCATGTACGGACCCCTGAGCACCACCAGTATCACTCCTGAGCACTTTCAGGTATAGCCCCAAACCCTGGGGGCCAGGAGATAGTCCAGTAGTTAGAGCACCTGCCTGGCAGGCACCAACCTGGGTCCCATTCCCAGCATCCAGGCCCCCCACCCTCACCTTAGCACCTCTTGATGCAATTCTGGAGGGTCTCCTCACACACCCAAGCACCCACGCATGCTACAGCTCCTGGCCCTGACCTGCCAGCGCAGTTAGCTGAGACCAGCAGCTCGGGTCCCTGGACCTACTCACCATTTGGGTCCCCCCCAAAAAATATCCCCAACACTGGGGCTGGAGAAATAGTCAGTGGAGAGGGTACTTGCCTTACACATGGCTCACCCTGTGTCAATCCCCCGCACTCCATAGGGTCCCCGAGCACCAGAAGTGGTTCCTGAGAGCAGAGACAGGAGTGACCTTTGAGCATCACCAGTGTAGCCCCCAAATAAACACAAACAGAGTTTAAAACAAACAAACAGACAAACAAACAAAAACCACGGACCCCCGGGGCCGGCACAATAGTTCAGTGGGGAGGGCATTTGTCTTACATATGGCCAACCCAGGTTCAATCCACAATATCTCATATGGTACTTCAAACACTGCCAGGAGTAATTCCTGAGTGCAGAGCCAGGAGTAACCCCGACCACAAAAATAAATAAATAAAATAGAAAATAAAAACACTGATCCAAGTCCTCAGTTTGGCAGTTGGGGAAACTGAGGCACAGAAGCAGAGGCAGCTTGGGGCCACTATGCTGACCTGTGCCCATCTCTGCAGGACCTCCACGGCTCAGTGCAGCGCATCTGCCAATTCCTGGAGCGGCCGCTGAGTGAGGAGGCGCTGGAATCCGTGGTGACACACTCGGCCTTCGGTGCCATGAAGGCCAACAGAATGTCCAACTACTCCCTACTGCCCTCCAGCCTGCTGGACCAGACGCACGGGAACTTCCTGAGGAAAGGTGGGGCCTAGTGGAAGGCCCTGCTGGGCAGGGGCGAAGGGCACTGGCCTAAGTCCCCAGTTGCAATACGGGGGGCTCCAGAGATCTGCCTGCCAGTGGTCCCGGTGGCCCTGGTACCCCAGATCCTATCTGCATTGCTCCAGCAGCTCCAGGGTTGTCTGAGGTCCAGGGGGCCCCCTAAGAACCTCAGTGTCCACCTGCAGTTACCCCAGCACTGGGTAAAGAGTCTGTTCCTTCCCTCACCCCAGCGTCAGCAACTCAGTGGCTTAAAATAGTTCTCCAGCCAGAAAGAGTACAGTGGGGAAGGTGCTGGCTTGGGCATCTCTGACCTGGCTTTGATTCCTGGCGCCACATAATGTCTCCCAAGGCCCACCAGGAATTATCCCTGAGCAGAGTCAGGGAGTAAACCCCAGGCAACTCCAGATGTAACCCAAGAAATAAAATTAACTAAAGAAGGGGCTGGAGCCTTCATACAGCAGGAAAGGCACCCAACACGAGAGATCCCTAAGTCACAGGTGTGGCCCTGAGGCGGCTCCCCAAATAAAACAGTTAACAGCGCCAGAGAGAACCAACCCATGTAGTTTCCCCAGTACTGCCAGGAGGAAGTAATTCCTGAGTGTAGAGCCGAGTAAGCCCTGAGCACACTGAGCACACAGGGTGTGCCCCCCCCCCAAGAAAATAAGAAAGAAAACAGCTCATTTCGTGGCAGGGGGCTCCCTCCTGCTTTCCTGGCTGCACCCCCTTTCTCCCTCTTCAGAGCTGCCCGCCCTGCTCCCTCTTTGCGCTGATCCCGCTTATCGTAGGGCCCTTATGATTATATTGGGGTACAGCCCAATATAATCGGAGTTCAGGATTCCCCTTCCGGGTGCTGTCACGGCCCCAGGGGCAGGAGGGGTGCGGAGGAAATTCCAGCTTGGAAAATTGAGGGAGCTGACGGGGCGGGGCGGGGCGCACAACCCGGGCACAGGCTGGAAGCGGGACTGGGGTGCGGGGTGCAGTGGCGCGGGGCGGGGACCCCTCCTGCCTCACCGCTACCGCCCTCCTTGCAGGAGTCTGCGGCGACTGGAAGAACCACTTCACCGTGGCTCAGAGCGAAGCTTTCGACCGCATCTACCGCGAGCAGATGCGGGGGCTGCCCCGCTTCCCCTGGGACGAGAGCCCCGAAGACGGCAGCCCAGACCCCGACCCCAGCTCCGACCCCAGCCCGGGCCAGGATCCCGAGCCCCCACACCTGTGACCCCGACAATAAAAGCATCGCTCTGGCCCGGCTTCTCCGCCGTTTTCCCGAGCAGGGCGGCGGGCGGCCGGCAGGGGGCGCGCGAGGGCAGCGGCCGGGCGCGGGTGGGGGTGGCCCGCGCCTCTTTGGGGGGGGGAGGGGGCCTGGAGGGCGCGATGCTCCGTCCCGAGGGATCCCGGGACGCGGGTGACTCAGAACCCCGCCCGAGGCACAGGTGCCGCAGGGCTGCGCCCGGCGCTCCCACGCCAGCTGGGGCTCCGGGGTCCTGAGCAAGTGGGCGGGGGCAGGGAGTGGAGTCTGGGCCCTAACTCCTGGATCCCTGGGGAGGGGTGAGTCGGCATCGGGTTTCCCAGGTCTCAGGGTGTCGGGCCTGGGTCTGCGGGAGGGGGACTGGGGATTCTGGCCTGCGGGAGGCGGGGCTGAGGCTGGTCTGAGGGAAGAGGGCCTGGGGCTTGGACTTCTGAATTTCTTGGGGGGCTATGCTCCCCGGAGGGAGAGATGAGCGACAGACCCACAGCGGGCAGGCTCTTGCCTTGCCCGTGGCAGGACAATCCCCACCACCATATAGGGTCCCCCCCGCAGCCCCTCCGGGAGTGAGCAGAGCCAGGAGTAAGCCCTAAGCCCTAAACAACAATAATGAAAACCCAAACCCAAAGTGGGCGGTTGTTGGGTCTTGGAGGAGACAGGGATGGGGGTGGGGAACGTGGTGATGGGGGTGGCTGTTCATTTGAAGATGGGGAAGTGCTGGGAAACGTACACTGGTGGAGGGATGGGTGTTGGAATACTGTATGGCTGGAATTCATTCATGAACAGCTTTGTAATGGTCTAAAAAATTTTTTTAAAGTTTTTTTAAAAAGAAGATGATGGGGGAGAGATGGTGCTGCTGGCCGGTGCATGCTCCTCACTCCTGGCTTACCGGCCCAGCTGCACAGCGACTCCCTGAGCACAGAGCTCGGAGTAAGACCCGAGTACAGCTGGGTGTGGCCCAAAAGCCAACAATAAATAATAAACAAATGGATTAATAAGGTAGATTTCTGAGGACATGGGACAGAGGATAGGGTGTGTGTGTGTGTGTGTGTGTGTGTGTGTGTGTGTGTGTGTGCATATGCAAAGCAAAATTTTTCCTTCAAAGAGGGAAAATCAATTTAGGAACTTGGGCCTGGGGGGTGGCAAACGGTAGGGGCTTGCAGGTGGGGGTCCTGGATTCGGATTCTGGCACTACAAACAAATGACAAATACACAAAACCCCAGAGCTGAGCACAGGGCTGTGTCCACACACATCCAGCAGAAAGCACCTTTATTCTGAATTAACTGGACCCAGGAGGCCATGGCCCACCTGCCCACCTCTGCCCTGACCTCCACAAACCCCACTTCCTGCTGCCGGGGGGGGGGGGGGGGGGCCTGCCTTTACCTGGTTGAACTCAGTTCACTCACTGCTCCCAAGTGTGGGGACAGAAAATGTCCCCGTTTTGTTTCAGGGACCTCCCACCCTCCATCTCCCATAAGCCAGCCCCAGCCAGGCCCCCCATTAGCCAGAGACTTTCTGTCCATTTCCCCAACGCAGCCCTGGAGTCTCGAGGGAACTTTTCCTATTCTAGAACAAAGGAGAAAGACCCCCTCTCCCCCGGCACCACAGCACGGGAGCCAGGCTGCCATGTCCGAGACCGCGTGGTCCAGGGGATGACCATGGAGTTCCCCACTATCTGCTTCCATCAGGGCCGTGCCCCAAATCCAGCCACGGGGCTCCAGTCTAACAGCTGGGTGCTCCTGGGGTCCAAGGGCTTGAAGGCTGCGTCGTCCCCAAACCACCACCGTGGGGATGTGGACAGGTAATGAAGGTGGCGGCTAGATGAGAGGGGTGGCAGGCGGGAGTCCACCTCGGCCCGGGGGCCCCCACCAGCACCCCGATGTCTCATCAGGGCCTTGGCTGGGGTGTCTTTGGCATCCCAGGACTTTCTGAGCTGTGGAAGGAAAAGAAAGAGGTGGGGAAACTGCCGAGTAGGGTGGGGGTGGGGGTTGAGAGCTGGTGAGAGCCCTCAAACTGGGAAGAGGAGCCCCAGCCTTGCAGGGCTGGGAGGGGCCGGGTCCCCCTAAAGCTTCTTCTTCAAAACTGGGGAGGAGCAGGAAGTTAGTGGGAAGCAAATATTTGCCAAAGGAGGATTAGGGTGGAGGAGAGGACCTTGCCCCCTCTCCCTTCCCTGTCAGGGACTGAGGCCACTCCTGGGGAATCTCCTCATGGCTCTGCCCAGAGACCAGGAGGGGAAACTGAGGCTAGTTGGCATACAGGGCTGGAGAGTTAGTACAGCAGGGGAGGGGCTTGCACATGGTGGACCCATATCTGATCCCAGGATCCCACTGGCTCCCCTGGGTCCCTCTAGGAGTGATCCTTTTGCAGGAACACCCTGCCAGATATCCTAGTCCCCCACAAAAAGGGGGCGCAGGCAGCTTGCAGAGACACTGGCAAAGCTCTGATGGCTTCCAAGGTGCCCTGAGTGGTGGGGCTTGAGTCTGCGGCTATTTGTTTAATTTAGGGGGTGTTCGGGACACCTGGGGCTCCTCCCAGTGATTCTTGGCAACTAGCCTGGGAGTCTCATCCCAGCAGTGCTAGGGATCCTGGGGTCACCTCAGAGGTGCTTGGGAACCCCAAGGGTTGCATGTGGCAATGTTTGGGAGACTCTTGGCAATGCTGGGGATTGAACTAGGCTCGGCCATGTGCAAGACTTCCTGTCTCTGACTTCTTCTTTTTTGTTTTTGGGACATACCTGGCGATGCTCAGGGGTTACTCCTGGCTCTGCACCCAGGGATCACTCCTGCCCAGGCTCGGGGAGCCAGTGGAATGCCGGGGATCGAACCCGGATTGGCTGCGTGCAAGGCAAGCTCCCCTCCCACTGTGCTAGCCCTCCCCCTCTTCCTCCTTTGAGCCCCACTCACCTCATTGTTGGTGTCACTGTCACTGGAGCCTGACAAATGGGACAGGCGGCTTAGATCCCACAGCGAGCGGCTGGGCCGGGCTGGGAGTCCGCTGGGTGTGCGGGCGCGCTGCACGCTCCTCAGGATGTCACTGAGTGCCGGCATTGGGGGTCTGGGCGGCTCCTGCCCATCCCTCAGGACCCGGCTGGCGACCAGGCGCATGGTCAGCGGGGGCTCCAGCCGGGGTGATGGTAACACTGGGGTTACGGAACAGCGACGGGCCACGCGGTGGGGGCTGGGTGGAGGTGGCTGAGTTCCAGGAGAATTGGTCGAGGGCCCTCGGCTGGGTGCTGGTGGGAGCGGCCGGGAGGCGGCATACAGGGTCCGGAACTCGCGGCTGAAGGCGTCGGTGATCTCACCCGTGAGCAGGGTCAGCAGGCCGCGGTTCAAGCGGGAGTCACTCCAGGTGAAGCTGGGGACACAGGCGGGCTCAGGCCCCAGCTCCCTGACCTGCCCCCACCCTCTCCAGGTCTCTGTCACAGGAGCACCTGACACCTGCATTAAGACCCTTGGATTGTACAGACCTGAACTACAGGACAGTGGGAGAGGCTTTCCTTGCACTCCAGGGTTCAATCCTGGACCCCATATGGTCCCTGAACCCTGCCAGGAGCAAACCCTGAGCACAGACCCAGGGGTTACTCCTGAGCACCGCTGAGTTGGCCCCCACAAAAAAAATGCAGGCAAAGTTATGAAGCAGGAGAGACAGTACAGTGGGGAAGGCGCTTTCCTTGGACGTGGCCGACCCAGGTTCGATCCCCAGCATGCCCTATGGTGGTCCCCTGAGCATCACCATGTTGGGGACTGGCCTTGGTAGCCCCTGCTTGTTTCTCCTGAGACAGGAATGAGCAGGGGTAAAACTGGGCATGTGGGAGCGCCATGCCCTGGTGGCCGACCCGGTAAAGGGGTGCCGAAGGGAAGGCTGCACCTGATCCACCTTGGCCAGGAGCCATATTCTTATTTCTGAGTTCAAGGAACTGCCCGCATGCGCAGCTGCAAAGCAGAATAACATAACATAGCTCGCTCAACTTGTAACCTTTGACTTTCCCACGGAGTGTTCACTACATACTATAAAAGAAAGTGAGCTTTGGGATACAGTCCTCCCTATCCCGTCTTCAGCATTCAGTCCCTCTCTCTGGCTGAAGTTGGCTGCGCGGGACACTGCACCGCCAGAAGTGATACCTGAGCACTGGACCAGGAGTAACCCCTGAGCATCACCAGGTGTGCCTCCCCAACCAAAACAAAAATAAAATGAGACCCTTGGATTACAGCCTGGAGCCATGGCCCAGCAGGAAGGACTCTTGCCTTGCAGGTGGCCAACCTGGGTGCGACCAACAGCATTCCATGTGTCTCCCCACCAATCCTGTCCTTCTTCTTGTGAAGCCCCACCCCCACCTGTGACCTCGCCCCCGGGGTGGCCAGTGGGAAGCCCCGAGGGGTCTGTGAGGTCACCGCATTCCACATCACAGACACTCTGGTTGGGCTGCGGCCTGCGCTGCTTCCTGTCCACAGAGAATTTGGACACGTCGTGCTGGACTTAGGACAACCGTGAGAAGGACGTGGTGCTGGGTTGGGGGGGGGACCCCCCAGAACACGTGGGCACTGGCCCTGTTGGATATCTCCTGCCGCTGAGCCCGGAGGTCCGGGAAGCCCTCGGCCTGGCTGGGCACCTGTCACCGCCGCCAGGCCACCATGGTCCCCGGCTGGTTACTGCTACTCATAGCCGTGTGTCCGGGCACCCGGGCCTCCAAGGAATGCCTGTTCTGTGAGCTGACTGACTCGACTGTCTGTCCAGGCGTCCACATGCACTGCGGGGATGATGAGGACTGTTTCACGGGCACTGGGGTGGCCCCAGGTATGGGCCCCATCATCAACAAAGGCTGCATGCAGTCCACCAAGTGCGGCCACGTGGAACCGGTCAGCTACATGGGCGTCACCTACAGCCTGACCAGCAGCTGCTGCTATGGCTACCTCTGCAACAGGGCCCCTCGCGCCCCCTGTGGCCCCCGCTCCTGGCTGCTGCGACTGGACTTGGTGCTACTCTCGCTGCTTTTTTGGTTCTAAGCACAGGAGAGCCAGGCCCGGGACAGGTCTCCTGGCTTCACACGGCCCCCGCCGTGCCCCTTGCCTCCACCCCTTTCCCTTATTAAACAGCCAGAGGCCCTGGACAACCTCGTGTGGCCCCGGCCTCATCGATCGAGGGGCGGCCGGCCCACCTGGAGCCAGGTCCGTGTGCTGGCCACAGTTTGGCTGCGTGTTTCTCCCTCACTGGTCTCTAAGATGCTGGTGGCTGCTGCCGGCCACTGGTAGTCCCTTAGAGTCGATGACACATGGTTTTGGTGGTTCTTTGGTCATATTTTTTCCCACCGAAGATGACTAATAAACAAGCACTGATATTTTAAGAGCGCTTCTCATATCCTCCCGTGCCAGCCACCCGGCATCTGCTTCCCTCCGTGTACCCCGTGTTTCTGTAAAATCTGGAAGGCCGCTCCCTGAAAGCAGACCGGAAATTGTCCCGGCAGCAACCCTGAACGTTGCCAGCTAGGAGTGTGCTAGCAAGACCAGTGTTCAGGCCCCAGCCCCCCGGAATCGTCCCAGCGATTCTGATGCAACTCAAGGTGGAAAAACCACAAGGTCATGTCAGGTGACAGCACAGGGGACTGGTGGGCCATGTTCCATCCCAGGTGGCTGGCACAGAGCCAGGAGCAAACCCTGAGCACCACTGGGTGTGCCCCTCCAAAAGTGTCTGAACCAGGACGGAGGCATAGCAGGACCCCGAGGAGAGGGAGGAAGAGGGACTTGAGCGCACCTGAGAGCCCGGCCTGATGCCACTAGCGGATACATTGACAGATGCCTGGGAGGTGGGTTACCCCCGAAACAGACCAGACAATGGGGTCAGAGCAATAGGACAGTGGGGAGGGCGCAGCCTTGTATGCAACCAACCCGGATTCAATCCCCAGTACCTCCTATGGTCCCTTGAGTACCACCAGGAATGATCCCTGAGTGCAGAGTCGGGAGTCAGGGCCTGAGAATCGCCAAGTGTGGCCCCCAAACGCTGATCCTCCCAAAATAAGACAACGAGTGAGCAAACCTTGTAGACTAGGCTTCACCCAGAAAGAGCAGCTGCGGTCTAGAGTGACCAAGTGGGGACAGCACTGACCTTGCCCAAAGCCGACCCCAGTTCTATTTCCAGTACCCCAAAGAGTCCCCCAGGTCCCACCAGGAGTGAGCTCTGAGCAGAGGCAAGAGTCAGCCCTGAGCACAGAGCCAGGAATCAGCCCAAAGCACAGACCTAAGAGCACTGAACACTGACAGGAGTCAGCCCTGAGCACTGGCAGGCTCCGTCCCTGGCCCCAGGCCCACCCTTCACTTGTCACCTCTTCTGGGAAGGATGGTCAGATGGTCTGAACCAGGAGCCCGGGACCAGGCTGGTAATCACGCCAGCTCACTGGGAGCATCTGTCTCATGGGGCTGGTGGCCACCCAGGCGGGCGCACCTGTAGGAGCCGGTGACCACTCTCTCTCCGTCCAGCAGCACGAACTTCTCCCTCACGCTGCCCTTCACCTGCCGGCTCTGGCGGCTCTGGAAGCTGCAGCCGGCCACCACACGGATGTCCAGGTTCTGGGGGCCAAGAGGCAACCTGCTCAGGCTTCACAGCCCCTGGAGGGGAGCCCCCTGGGCGGGCCCTGCCTTCCTCCAGGAGTCCCCAGCTGTCAGACCACCAGGACACGTGGAGAAGCACCTCCCCACCCGGGCACACCCAGCGCCTTGCACCCTCGGACGTATGTGGGGAATTGGGGACAGGGGCTCCGGGCAGTTCAGTGGGGGCTGGACCAACCTCTGTGGCCCGGGGGTTCACCCCCAGCTGCTGGGCCAGTTCCAGGAAGGCGGGCAGCTGCTGGCAGTCCAGGAGCACGTAGACGGGCACCCAGCGGCACGTGGCTGTGTCCACGAGGTCAGACAGCAGGTCTGGGTCGGTGAAGACATCCATGACCACGGCCACCAGCTGCAGGGGTGAAGGGCAGCGGTTGAGGTCAGGGCTGTGGTGAGGGGAGTTTGGAGCTGCTGGGGGTTAGGGGGGTTTCGGGTGATGCTAGACTTTAGGGGGAGAGTTATGGGCGAATGGGGGTCTGAGGCCAGGGCTGTGTGGGGATGGGGGCTGTCATGGGGAATGGGGGAGTTAAAGGGATGGGGAGCTGTGGGTGAAGCTGGAGACCCCAGGACACCTAGGGTGGGCACCCCTGGGTAAAGGGTTTTGGAGAAGGAAATTTGAAGGGCCTCCATGGACTAATTTAGAGGGACAGAGGAGGGACCCCCCCCCAAGACACGTGATGGCTCATGGAGTCTCTCTCCAACCGGCACTGCCCCCTGCACTCCCAAATGGTTATCTGTCACCACCTCCTGGGAGGGGTCCTGGGGGGATGGGGGGTGCCAAGAACTTCGTCTTGTAGGCAAAGCGGGGGGAGGTGGCTAGTCCCCAACTCATTGACCAGATGGTTCAAATCACTATTCAGGGGCCGGAGCGGGAAGGGCACTGGCCTTGTATGAGGCTAACCCAGGTCTGATCCCCAGCATCCCACAGGGTCCTCCGAGCACCACCAGGAGTGATCCAGCAGTGCACAGCAGGAGTGAGCTCTGAGCACTGCCAGATATGGCCCAAGAACCAATTAAAAAAAAAAATCTATTCAGATGGATTGCCCCGACTCAGTCTCCCCATCTCCTCAATGGGCCCTTACCAGGCACCTGTGAGGGGCCTGCATGGGAGCAAACAGATGACAGACACCAGGAAGTTCACTGAACAATGGGCTGGGCTGAGAGGTGCAGGGAGGAGCAATGGGGACAATCTGGGGGTGACAAGCCCAGGAGACACCCCTAAAGGCACCGAGCCTTAGGTGTTGAGAAGGAAGCACCCTGTTATCTCAGGGGCAGGCTGCATCTAGGAGTCATGGACAGCTAGATCCTGGAGGGCGGAGGGCAAAGGGCAGGAGGCAGCCTGCCTAGGGCCAGGGGGCCCCAGGTGTGGGCAGCCACAGGCCCGGTGCTCACCTTTTGTGCAGCGCGGATTTCCCGGCGCACCACCTCCTTGAGCGGGGGCTGGCCCTCCTCTGGGGGCTGCGTGTACAGCTGTGCCCTGGTGATGCCTTTCCACGCTCCGTCTTCTGGCCAGCCCAGCCGCAGGGTGGGCAGTGTTTCCTCCGACTGACCCGGCCAGTAGGTGAGGCTGCCTGGGTCTCCGTCAGCCGTGGCGCCCTCAGCCGCGCTGCCCGAGCTCCATTCCTCTGCGGCGGCGGCCAGGCCCTGGAGCTCATCCCCGCTGAGGAAGGGCCGCAGCCCCTCACGCTGCACACAGGCCTGGAAGGCTTCGGTGCCCTCACTCAGCAGCGCCTCGAGTGCCAGCCGCTGGCCCTCGGAGTACAGGGCGGCAGGCAAGGCCTCCGCTGCCTGAGCCCCAGAATCCAGCTCTGCTCCTTCAAGCGCCGCCAGCTGAGAGGCCGCCATCGGGCCACCCAGGAGGAGGGCTAAGAGGATCCAGAGGGTGGACCCTTGGGGGTCCCCAGCAGATTCTGTGCGGCCAGACTAGCTCTGCAGGATAGTGCCGAGTCCCGGGGTCCCCCGTACCTCCCCCAGAACCGAGGCAGGACCAGGGCAGCCCTGAACAGACGCTAGCCCCTGCCACCCCCCACCCCCCGATTTCTTGCCAGCAGTCTCTGGTGGTCCAACAGAACCCCAGCCTTTCCTCCCTGCAGCGTGACTCAGTCACCACCCATCTCTGAAACTCCACGACTCACAGCCCACCGGCCACCCAGCCCCCAAAAGAGCAGATACTTCAGACCTGGGCAGGCCAGGACAGCCACCAGAGCCTGCAGGGGGACCCCGGGTCAGCTCTGGCCTACAGTGTCCCCAAAGCTTCTTGTTGGAGGCTTAGCCAGGCTCGGCTGCTGTGGAAACAAGGGCGCTTTCCAAGTCCCGCCAGGCAGAGTCTGAGCTCCCTGCTGCACCCTGGCACCCAGGCGCCCACTCGGAGGTGGAGGAATGCACTCCAGGGAGCGCGGCGACGCCCTGCCCCTCCCAGTACAGGGGGCCCCTAGGCCTGTCTCCAGATGGCCCTGTTCAGGCCGTGCAGAGGGGGTGCTGCAGAGCAGTGCCTGGGTGGAGGCCCCAGACCGCCCTCCACCCAGCCCCCGAGCTGAGTGGGTCCAGCTCCCAAATTCTAGAAAAAGCCCACCTGTGTGCCAGCAGTTGACTTAATACTGGGCCAGAACTTTCTTAGTCCTGCCCCACCCCACCCCCAACCTGCCCCTCTTAGATTCTGTGCCCCTGACCCCTGCACATTGCCAACTCCAGTCCTCCAGGTCACAGCGAGTTCCCCTGCAGAAAACAGTGCAGGGCCCACCTTCCTCCCACCGCGGGGCACTGGGCCAAGAGTGCCTCCCCCAAGCTTGCCTTTTCAGATGGTCAGTGCCAACAGTGGGGGTCCACAGACCCGCCTTTATTCTGGCGGTTCTTCTGCCAGGGCTGGCCTCATTCATCAGGTTTCAACATAGATCCAGGCTTTGCGCAAACACAGACCGGACCCTGCCCCAAGAGCCCAGGAGCGGAAGCCCCTCAGGAGGGCCCAGTCCCCAACTTGCCCAGTCGCTCTTGGGGTCCAGTGCACCAGGCAAAATGGGCCTCTTGATCCCGGGGGAGCCTAGCACCTGCTGGCCGGTTCCCACGCGACCGCCCCCCACAGCCCCGCCCCACTTCCGGGTCCACAGGGACAGGGAGTGGCCAAACAAGAAGCTGGGCTGGTGTGTTAACACCTGACAGGTGAGGCCAGAGCGATAGCACAGCGGGTTGGGCGTTTTGCCTTGCACACGGCTGACCCAAGTTCAATCACCAACATCCCATATGGTCCCCCAAGCACCAACTGGAGTAATCCCTGAGCATCGTTGGGTGTGACCCCCCCCAAAACCAAAATACACCTGACAGGTTCAGATAAAGGAGGCAATTTAGACCAAAAGACTGTGGGGACAGCATGTCCACTAGAGGGCACTATCGGACAGGGCTAGTCAAATCCCCTCCCCTCCCCCAAACACTGGGGTACCTGTCCTCCCCCCCTCCAGGCCCCACAGTAACACACAGGCCAATCAGCAACCAAAATCTTTAATAGTAAAGCAGGATCAGGTCAGTTCTTGTAGCCACGGCTGGCCCTTCTGCCTCTGGCACGCTCGAACTTGCGGCCCTTGGAACGCACATAGGGTCTGCAGGGAGAGGAAAGTTCAGGTTAGAATGAAGCAGGGGGCCTCCCTGAGGGTGCACGGCTGGGGAACAGGAGGTCTATACTCACTTAGTGTGGCTGTGTGGGGTCCCGGGAGCCTTGCCAAAATGCCTATACACCTCCCGGCCTTTGCGGGGACCTATGTCAAAGATAAAAGTGGATCATTAGGCTGGAACAGACGTGTGGCCTCAGGGAGTTGGCTGGGGGCCCCTGGACTTGCACTCACCAGAGAGCAGGACAGTTCCACAGCCTTTGGGGGAGTCCAGGGCCAACTGGTCAAAGGTCAGGATTTTGCCCCCAGCCTTGAGGATGCGAGTTCGGGCACGGCCAGTCACACGCAGGGCACACACCTGAGGAGGGGGTGTGTCAAAGTCACCTCAGAAGCTCCTCTGGCCCAGGAGCCCCCGCTGCGGTGCCAGTCGCATGGAAGGGCTTCTTGTGCTGGCCACACTTCTGGATGCTCCACCAGTACCCAGCAGGGGATCGACACTACACCAGGGACCCCTCTGGGGCTGAGTATTTGCAGGCAGTTACACAGTGGAGTTTGCATGTAGGGAAGGTGGCTGACCTAAAGTGAACTGGCCAGAGCGATAATACTGCAGGGAGGGCACTTATCTTGCATGCAGTCTACCTGGGTTTCATCCTTGGCACCCAATAGGGCCCCAGGAACACTCCTGCATGCAGAGCCAGGAGTAAACCCTGAGAGTTGCCAAAAACCGAGAGAGATCTGGGGCTGGGTGTACTAGTATAGGACAGGCTTGTGGTACTTTCCTTGCACATGGCTGACCCTAGACCGATTCCTGGCACCACATACGGTTCCCATGTCCTCAGAGCAACCCCTGAGCACCACTGGGGTAGGGCCCAAACCCATTCCCACTTAGATTCCCTGTCACACAAGAAGCCACGGGGCAAGATGTGCCAACAACCTCCTCTCAAGGTGGATGCATAAACGCGGGGGCGGTGTCACAGCACAGCAAGCGCACAGTGAGGTCCGCAGGCCGCCCCGTCCCACTCACCTTCAGTTTGGGCACCTCCTGAATGCGCACATCATCTGTGATTGTGCCCACCACCACAGCCGTCTTGCCTTCCCGACCAGGAAGCTTCATCTTGCGGATCTTGGGGGGAAGGGGAGGAGAGGTGCTGAGGAGCTGGGAGCCTCTGCAGACCACGCAAGACTTTCCACAACCCTCATCAGCGCAGGGTGGGAGTGACAGTATGAGGGCAAGAGTGTCTGCCTTGCAGTCAACCTGGGTTCAACTGCCCCCCCCCCCGCACCTTAGAGGGTCCCCTGAGCCAGCAAGGAGTAAAGCGAGAACAGAGCCAGTTAGCCCTGAGCACTGCAGGGGTGGCCCCCAAACCAAAGCACCCCCAAGACAACCAATTAAGGTGAGTTGACATTTGCATCCTAGGACCTGCACTCAGGGAGCCACTAACCCCCCCGCCACCACCACCAGGCCAAGTGTGGCCGCCAGCCCAACCCCAGCAGTTCCTTACCATGCGGGACAGGGACAGAGGCGGCCGGTTGGTCCGGCTCATGAATAGTCTCTTCAGCACAACCTGATTGAACGTGGAGTTGGTGCGTCTGGCCAGAAACCGGTAGAGCTGCAGAAGGGACAAGGCAATGAACACAGAGACCACTGTGGTCCACTGCCCTTCCCCTAGGAGGCAAGCCAACATTGTTCTGTTTCCCGATCTCTAAGAGTCCCAGGGCCCCACTGTTCCAGTCCCGAGGCTGCAGACAGAATCTGTCCTTCCAGCCCTGGAAGGAGGGTGGCCAAATACTGTGGGCCCAGCAGGGGCTGCCCAAGGAGACTCCAGCCCCATCTCACCTTAACCAGCAGTCTCAGGTAGATGTCCTGGCTCTTGGGCTCCTTGCGCCGCACCTTCCGGTCTTTGTTGTGGCGGATATCGACTCCCTGTGGGGATGAATGATGGAGCGTGGGCCCAGCTGATCCCTGGGCACCTCGTGAAGGAAGGGTGGCAGCCCTGTCTGAGGAAGTGTGAACCGCAGGCCACCGGTGGGAGCTCCAGGGAAAATAACTGCCAGGGCTTTCTGCTCCCCGACAACCCCCACTCCGCAATAAAAAAGTCAATTCAATTCCAGAGACAAGAAAAGACAAACAGCCTTCTCCCACCAAAACTCGCTCCAATATGGAGCAGACACCGGCAGGCCGGAAGAGTGTCGAGTCCTTTACTTGGAACGCTCTGCAGAGAACTAGTCCCCATCTCTGTTCACCCCGCATCCCGAGCGCACGCCTCCAACCCCTGCGGGGCTCCGACACTTTGCATCGGAGAAAACCGAGGGCGAAATGCTCGAGACTTAAAATTTAGGAACCGGACTCTTTAAACAGCTCCCGCGTTTATCCTTGCTCGCAAAAAACCTAGGCGAGAAAAGCAGGCGCTTCTGGCTAATTTCTTATCGAAGGCAAACCTGCGGGACTTGTGAAAACAATTCGCCTTTTGCCCGTGACACGGAATGATAACTGAGGCACGCACCAGAAAACAAAGTGAGCTCGAACGGATAGAGCCCCTGCGCCCAGGCTCGGGACGTTCAACGACAGCCCTCTGCCCCCAAACCTCGCCTCCAGGCTGCGGAGCGAACGATCCAAGCGAAGAGAGCAAAGAGATGGGCACGGGTCCGAATCCTAATCCCGTAATTTTCCAGCATCGGTGCCCTGATCCCCTCCCTGAACCTCCTTGTACCTCAACCTGACCATCTATTGAATGGGCGCTCTAACCAGGTTGCGGGAGAATGGGAACGACCCATCCCTGGTCTTCGGGCACCACTGAAAGCCTCCCGAGCGAACAAATCGCCGCTATCAGACACCCCGAACTCCCTGTCTCCCTTTGCCATGCCCCCAGTCTAAGACTGTGACGGATGGCAATGGATTGTGTAGCGCTAAAGGCCGCAAAAGGCGCTCACCATGATGGCGCCTTCAGTTCGGCCAGGTCCGGAAAGAGAGAACAGGGCCGGATGGGCGGGGAAAGCACTGAGCGACTGGCGCGTGCGTGGCGTCACTGGCGCGCGACGCGGCGCTCTACCACGACGCAGGTCTCTCGGTGGTGAATCGGAGTGCGAGCTAGATGGGAGGTTCCGGAATAAGGTGGATGAATAACCACCTTATTCGTTACGTCAAGGCTGGTACATCGGAGGCCTCTCTGGCCCTGCCCGAGCTCTCTTCTCGATGGTCTTCCGGGAAAAAAGGGCTCTGGGAACGAGAGAGATGAGCGGAGCTAGGAGGACGCGGCGCGAGGTGACGCTCTGGTCCAACGCCGACGATTTCTCTGTGGCTCCCGGAGGACCCAGCGGGAGTGTTGGCGGTGAGGAGGCGGGGCTCGTGGGGCTGTGTCGGGAACTCGGGTAACCTCTGACCCCTCGATCCGGGCGTTTCCTTTGCAGGCTCACCTCCGCCGTATCTGGTCCTGCGCATCCTTGGCGGGGCCGCAGCTCCGGAAGTTCTCCGTGCGGTCTAACCTCAGATCTTCTTGCTGCAGCGTTGCATAGAACATCCTGTAACGCCCCATTTCAGCCCTGCTTCTCCCCCGCGCCTCTAGATAGACTTTCCCTAATACCTCCGCCTCCTTTGCCGCCGGGGGTTTGGGGGGGCTGCTTTTTCTTTGGCAGAGAGATTCCAGTTCAGAGTGAGGGATGCTCACGGTAGTGGAGCGCAAAGGAGGGCGCCAAGGCTCGGGTTGGGAGGGCTGGCATGGGGTGGTGAAAAGGGGCTGTCTTAAGAAGCATCAGTAAGGGTGCCGAGGACAGAGTTCAAGTGGTTTTCAGGAGAAGTGGGATGAGGTGATCCAGACGGGGAGACTAGAGAGAGGAGGGAGGAAAATGATTCAAGGGGTGGAGGGAAGCAGAGGAAAAAGTGGAGCAGGGGCCTTGCCAGCTGATTCGGTAACTTCTAATCCCCAGTGCGCTAACAATGGGGCTTTGGACAAGCCATGACACCTTCCTTACCCCCTTCAGAAGGGGATGGTAACAGGTCTGCCCCAGAGGGTGTTGCCCATGATTATGTAAGTTAATAAAAGTGCTTAGGATGGTGCTTTTCATATTAGTGCTTCCTTAAAAAATTGCTCCACTCCCCTTTCTTAGCCCTTTCCAAGTGAGAAGATGGACCGGCTGGGGCCGGGAGGAAGCTGACCCCGCTCCTGTTGACCTCTTCAGGGAAGCTCTGCATTTGGGGGCTCCGGCTCATTCACTCTGACCTCCAGTTCACCCCCGATGTCCCCACTGACCGACTTACTTCTCCACAGAGGCCAAGGCCACGCGTGGATCGTGAGGACTCTTTGTTTATCCCCCCTGCCCATGGGCTCTGACCCAGGGCCAGGGCCAGGGCCTGGCTGATGCCAGTGGATGAATGGACACCTCAGAGCAACAGAGCAGCAGGACCAGGTAAGGGTCAGAAAGCCAGGACCACCATCCTGAGAGATTCAGTGCCCCTTCCCTGTCCCTGCCCCTTTGTCTCTGTGACATGGGCCCTCCCTGGCTTTGCATGCTGACTTCTTGTGTCTGTCAACTTTTCTTCCCAGGGTCCGAGCTCTTGTCTTGGGTGACCCCCATCTCTCCATATTGCAAGATTTCTCTGCCCCCATCTCTTTGAGTCATTCTTTGGCACATATTCTGGTGTCATTGCTACTCTGGATTAAATGCTTAGCTTTTTTTCATTGTTTAGCTATATGTGGGCTTCTTCTGACGCAACTCTATGTCTAGCAAGTTCTCTTCCTCTATCCACAAGTGTCTCTCTCCCTACAATTCATGTCCATTTCGAGGCCTCCTAATATTATCAGTCTTACCTTGGTTTCGTTCAATTTCTTCCTGGCTTTGCATTTCTCTGGCTCTTGCTTTCAGTCTCTGGCCCTTGACATTCTCCCACGCTTCACCCCTGAAAGAGCTGCAGAGGAATCGCCTAGCTCCTCTTTCCCATGTCGCTCCTAGTGCTTCTCCCGGGTCATTGGCTGGTCAGATGGCTGTCATGCTGGTTCCTTGCGGTGGTTTGTTGATTTGCATATAAGGTAAATAATGTATGAATGAATTTGCTCTGTGGTTTTCTTTCCTAAAGTGTGTTAGCCTGTCCTTTTCAGGGTTTTCTTGCCTCTTTACCTTCATTAGTCACTTTTCTACTGTCTTTTTCTCTATTTTCTGTGTCTGCTTCCGTGTACTGAAAAAGAGAAAACAAACTCTACAATCTAGTTTTTTTCTCTGACAGTGCTTCTCTGAATATCTTGTATTAACTCCCCTTGCTTTATCAATGTGAAATTCCCCTCCCCCGCTTTGCTCCTTCCAACCCCTTCTCTGAAAAAACAGTAGATGTGACTGGACCCCGTGCCCTCAGTAAAGATGGCGGTATAGGTGTTGGACATGGGCCGTGACGCCGCCTCGGCTGCGCGTGTGCCCTCATCGGTGATGGCGGCTGCGCTGGCACGAGCAGTGCCCCGCCCAGTCCTTGGCTTTCCTGCGTCCAGTCCCAGCGCTGGGCTAGCCAGTCGGTTGGTCCCGCCTCTGCACCCCCATTGGTGCAGCTGAAACCGGCCTGTGGCCATTGGCTGAGAGCATGCACACCCTCCCCCCACCACCTCCCGGAGATGTGAAAGGGGGCGGTTGGCCCTAACTTGAGGGCTACCAGGCAGAGCACCCTGCAGCGAGTGAGAGGGTGTGGGGAGGGAGGGGATCGTGGCAGGGCCCCAAGTGGGGGAAGGAGGGGCAAGAGGATCGGAAGCGCAGGCGCGGGACTGGGGTACCAGGAACTGGGGGGTGGGGTGATAGGAGAACCAGAACAGGATCAGAGGGATGCAGGAACAACGGAAACCGAGACCTCAGACCGGGCTTTGGAAAAGGGGTGGACGGGTTTGGACGACGCCTGGTAAGAGGGTGGGGCATGGGGGCTACCCAGGGTGAAAGGTTGGGATCCAGTGAATGGCCCGGGAGTGGGGGAGCAGAGGCCACTGCGGCACTGTTCCTGGTTTAAGGTAAGGGGGTGAATCAAGTTAGGGTGAGACCCAACTGGGCTCTGCAGGGCAGGGGTCTGGGGAGGCCCTTGAGGCAGGCACAGAAGGGGTTGCTCTGAGGCAGGTGAGCGGCCCAGGCTGACAGGTGGGCGGGGCCTCGGAGAACAAAGGTGAGAAGAAGACAGAACCAGGGCAGAGGGCAGAAGGGAAGGGCTGGGGAAGGGGACCACAGTCAGCTCCCATCGCCCCTTGAAGAGCAGGCGGCCAGCAGCAAGGTCAGTGCTGGGGCCCAGCCCCGGCCCCTGCAGGCTCCTGCATGTGGCACCGCTGACCCTCGGGCTCTTTATGTCCTTGTCATATGTGTTCCTTTCTCATCTCTCTTGCTGTCTCCCACCTTCTCTGTCTCCCCACCCTCCTGGTACCCTCCATCACTCCTAAGTATCAAATGTAGCTTTTTTAAAAAAACAAAAAAAACCCTTCATTTTCCAGTTGTGTAGGCCTCGGGATTTAAATGGTCCTCAGGTCTGTCCCAAAGCTGTCTCCTCCTCCCCTTTCCTCTGCGTCTCAGACCTCACCCCTCTTCTGTCTGCTGGACCTCTGGCTGTAGCCGGAGGGGATTCCCTGTTGGCCTATTTTTTCTCGGTCATTGGATGCTTCTTTCTGCCTGGTGTGCCACCATCCCCATTCTCCCTCCCGCTGTCTCTCTGCAAAGCCCTCCATCACCCAGCACACTGGGTTTTCCTCTTGATTCTGGAATCGTCTGTTAGTTCTGGCCAGCCAGTACAGTGAGGACTATGAGCTGATTAGTACTGGGTCACCCACAAGGGACTGTGCATGGCTGGGGCGCGCCCCCCACCCCCCGGGCCTCTGGCCTTCCTGCTTCCCAATGCCCACCATCTCTCTCCTTAAATATAAGCTTGTCTCCAGTGCCCCTGTGTTGCCTGTCACTACCCCTTGCTGTCCCCGGTGACCCTTCTGCCCTCTACCTACCATGGGAGTCATGGCTTCTGACTCCTGCCCTCCTCCCTCCCCACAGAAGCCGGACCAGGAGCTGACCTGGAGCTGGGGCCACGGGCCTGGGAGCGCCCTGCGCCCAGCAGAGGCCATGGCCCCGTCACCACTGCCACCGCTGGCTGCCAGCACCCCGCTCCTGCATGGCGAGTTTGGCTCCTACCCGGCCCGCGGCTCACGCTTCGCCCTCACTCTCACACCACAGGCCCTGCACATACAGCGGCTGCGCCCCAAGCCCGAAGCCCGGCCCCGGGGTGGCCTGGTCTCGCTGGCTGAGGTCTCTGGCTGCAGCACCCTGCGGAGCCGCAGCCCCTCGGACTCAGCCGCCTACTTCTGTGTCTACACCTACCCCCGGGGTCGGCGTGGGGGCCGCCGCAGAGATGTCCGCACCTTCCAGGTGGACGGGGGAGCCACCTATGAGGAGAACCGGGCTGAGGCCCAGCGCTGGGCCGCCACACTGACCTGCCTGCTGCGGGGACTGCCACTGCCTGGGGATGGGGGTGAGGCACTGTGCCCCATGGGCACCTTTGTCTCTGCTGCCCTGGGTGCTGCTCGCCAGCTAGATTTCCCACTCTCGGGGACCCAGCCCAAGGCTGCTGACCGAGAGACCAAAGGCCCAGTTCAGGTCTGCAGATGCTCTCAGAGGCCCCCTGGAGCATCCTTGGAACCCAGCCTGGGGGTGGGGTGGGGTCACAGAGGGCTTATGGGCAGGCGCCATACCCTAGGGTCATCAGGAGGCAAAGGTTTGAGGATTCCCCCCTCTGTGGACCTGCTCTGGTCATCCAGGGCTCTGCTGGCTGTTGAGGAACCCTTGAGGATAGCAGTGCTGAGGGAGCCTCCTGTTGCAGTGAGAAACCTAATCCTGGGGTCCAGGTGTTAGGGGTGAGTGCAAACCACAGCTCACCTCCTCCCCCTGGGCAGGTCCAAAGGTCACCCGGATTAGATACTCAAGCCCTGCTTTGTCCTAGACTTGGGAGGTGGGGCAGGGTACACCCCTGAGCTGGCAGGTGAGGCTCTGTCCTCGCCCTGACTCATCCCATTTGCCATCAGCAGTTCCTGGCTTTTGGTGAAGGGACCTGGGTCACTCACCCTTTTTTTTTTCTGCCCTGCAGTGCTTGGGGCACACCGGGTACCATGCAGTGCCCAGGTACCCCCTTGGCGGCTTTTTATCTCCCATGGGACCGTTCTGGCCTTTGGAGACGCTTTCCCCTCTCTCCACAGAAATCAACCTGGAGCGGCTTCCCAGGGCACCCCGGCTGCTCCTATTGGTCAATCCCTATGGGGGGCGGGGCCTGGCCTGGCAGTGGTGCAAGAACCACGTGCTGCCCATGATCGCTGAGGCAGGCCTGTCCTTCAACCTTATCCAGACAGGTAAGGCAGTGGTTGGGGGTTGGGGGCAGGATGTGTGGCTGCAAGAGGAGAGTCCGCCTCACATCCTGGTTCCCCTATATCAGAACGACAGAACCACGCCCGGGAGCTGGTCCAGGGTTTGAGCCTGAGCGAGTGGGATGGGATCATCACAGTCTCGGGGGACGGCCTTCTCTATGAGGTAGGACAGGAGTACCCAGCGCCCCGCCTGAGCTCTGGGGGTTGTGAGGCCCAAGCCGGCCCCTACTCCTCTGCTCTCCCTCCCTGCAGGTGCTAAATGGTCTTCTGGATCGGCCTGACTGGGAGGAGGCTGTGAAGACGCCTGTGGGCGTCCTTCCCTGCGGCTCCGGCAACGCGCTGGCAGGAGCTGTGAACCAGCATGGGGGGTAGGTGGACACTCGTGCCTGGGGTGAACCGCCCTGGGGCCAGGGGAACCCAGAACCTCGGTGCCCACACCTCCTAGCAATGTGCCCGCCCCCTGGACATTCCTGCCAGCCCTGTCTCCCGGGGCTGTGTCCTGGCCTAGTTTCCAATCTTCTTGCACCCCAACGCACACACAGAGGCCATTTCTCTCCAGCTCAGTGCTTTCTTCCTCCCCACCGTGCCTGGCTGCAGGTTCCAGCAGGCCCTGGGCCTCGACCTGCTCATCAACTGCTCGCTGCTGCTCTGCCGGGGCGGGGACTGCCCGCTGGACCTGCTCTCCGTCACCTTGGCCTCGGGCACCCGCTGTTTCTCCTTCTTGTCTGTGGCCTGGGGCTTTGTGTCGGATGTGGACATCCAGAGTGAGCGCTTCCGGGCCCTGGGCAGCGCCCGCTTCACCGTGGGCACGGTTCTGGGCCTCGCTGCACTGCACACTTACCGAGGACGCCTCTCCTACCTCCCTGCCACTGTAGAGCCAGCGTCGCCACCCACTGGCCATGGCCTGCCCCGTGCCAAATCTGAGCTGACCTTGGTCCCGGCCCCCGCACCGCCCGTGGCTCATTCACCCCTACACCGCTCAGTGTCTGATCTTCCCCTGCCCCTTCCCCAACCCCAGATGGCCCTCACCTCCCCAGGCTCCCCAGAAGCCCTGCCCAGCCTGGCTCTCAATGGTGGGGCCTCAGAGCTGGCTGGGGACTGGGGTGGGGCTGGGGATGCGCCTCTGTCCCCTGACCCCCTGCTGCACTCACCCCCTGGCACCCCGAAGGTGACTCAGCTCTCGCCCATCACAGAGGGTGTCCCAGAAGTGCCCCCGCCTACTGGGCAGCCTGCTCCCACCCCTGACTCCCCCACGGCCAGCTCAACTGGGGGCCCACCAGACCACCTGCTCCCTCCTCTGGGCAGCCCCCTACCCCCAGGTTGGGTGACGCTGGAGGGAGACTTTGTGCTCATGCTGGCCATCTCGCCCAGCCATCTGGGAGCTGACCTGGTGGCCGCACCCCATGCGCGCTTTGACGATGGCCTGGTGCACCTGTGCTGGGTGCGAAGCGGCATCTCCCGCGCGGCACTGCTGCGCCTGTTCCTGGCCATGGAGCGGGGCAACCATTTCCGCCTGGGCTGCCCACAGCTGGGCTATGCAGCTGCCCGCGCCTTCCGCCTGGAGCCGCTCACGCCCCGAGGTGTGCTCACGGTGGATGGCGAGCAGGTGGAGTACGGGCCCCTGCAGGCCCAGGTGCACCCGGGCCTGGGCACTCTTCTCACGGGGCCTCCGGGGCGGGAGCCCTGAGTCTGACCCTGTTTGGAGTTCTCTGAAGGCGGGGCAGACGTTCCAGGTGGTAGGGCTCCGGGCAGAGAGCGGGCCTGGCCCTGTCTCAGGATCAGGCTCGCTCTCTGGAAACCAGTGGTGATTCTGGCAGGCGGTCTGGATTAAGGGGGCAGGGGGTACGTGTGATTACAGATGTGTGAGGGTAGTGCCTGATGGAGGGGCGCGGAGTTCAGCCCCGAGCCCTCTGGACCGGCAGCAGAAGCCTGGTCGGCTGAGGGCGGGGCCTGCCTTAACTGTCGTCCAGTGACGGGGTGTAGGCTGTGCCAGCTGCAGGAGGCCTTAGTTCATTGGCCAGTCAGGGCTGGGTCTTGCCCTGTCCACCCCGGTGCCTCCACTCAGCTGGCCAAGCAACCCAGAGGGGCAGGTTCCCCAGGGTCCGCCCCCGGCCCTTCCCTTCGTTTTGCACTAATGCCCGTTTAGCCGCGGGGACCAGGACGCCTGCCTCCCGCACCATCCGCCCGAGTCTTCAATTGAAAGGTCCTATGCAATAAAGGCCGTCGCTCCTCTCTCAGTCCCTCGCCCCTTACTCCATCTGGCAGCCGCGGGGAAGGCATGACCCCTCAAGGTGCCTCCAGCAGGCCCCCAAGAGCATGGGTCACAGCCCCACGAACTGTGGCCAGGATGACCTGCCAGCCCAGGGGTGAAGGGGGCCCAGGAAGCTGCCGTCTACCCCACAACAGCTGGCTCTGGGGTTTGCAAGATTTATTCAGGATAGTGGGCACGGAGGCAGTGGGAGGGTGGGGACCCTGCTGTGCCCAGCCAGAGGGCACAGATGGCCCCTCCCCGCCCCCACGCCGGAGGTGGGAGGCTCGCTTTTTCTTTAAAAATATAAATGTATTTGATCTGCATTGTCCCACAGCCCTGGGGCCCCCAGACGGATGGACAGGGCCACCTCACAGGGCCCCATGCTGGGCCTGGTAGCGCGACAGCACCGCGCGGTAGTGTGACAGCTCCTGGCGCACGGCCACCACCTCTTGCCGCAGCAGGGCATTCTCCTTCTCCAGGAAGGCCGCCCGCACGGATATCTGGTTCTCCTTGAGCCGACGCGCATCTCGGGAGCGCTTCGCTGCCTCATTATTCTTGTACCGCCGGCTCCAGTACTTCTCGTCCTGGGGGAGGAAAGGAAAGAGACGCTGAGGCCCAGAAGCACTGAGAAGAGCAGTGCAGAATGGGGCCCTCTGGGGTTGCTTCCGGCCCAGCAGCCAGACCCAAAGGAAATTAAGTCTCCTACAGGATTCAGACCCAAGGGTTTGTCCTCCTCAGGCCCAAGTTGCCAAAGAGAGTAGGTGACTGGCTACAGTGAAGGCACCAGATATTCCCCCATCCCCTGCGATCGAGCTTCAGGCCACAGACCCCTGACCCTCCTTCCACAAAAGGGCTTGCAGTTAGCTCCCTGTTGCTAAGGATGCTCATACCCTAGCAACAAGGTAAGGGGGCTGGGAGAGAAATTAATCAGCCTCCCAGTGCCTGGTTGCTAAGGAGAGCGCAAACTGGTGGGATGCAGTATCCCATAAAGCCTTCCCAGAGCCTGGCTCCTATGACCTGGTTGCCAAGGCAACCTCTTGCAGGGGAGGGGGGAGGAGCTAACTAGTCCCAGTGACCTACCACTGTCACCAACCCACAGACTTCAACTAGAGGCTAGGGGCTACCTCCCCCCAGCAAAGGGATTTCAGCTGAGGGTCTCTCCCCTGCTTCTCCCTCAACCCATCAGGCCTGGAAATGCCCAGACCTGGAATCCGGGTGCTAAGGGGATGTGCTCCACAACAAAGCCCAGAGCTCTGCAAGAAGCCCCTCCACACCCACATTTAATCAGAGCCTGGCACCTGCTGCACAGGGCTGGAGAAACCACTGTCCTAAAACTGGTTGATGGGGGTTGGAACAATAGTACAGCAAAGAGGATGCTTGCTTTGCACACAGCCAACCCAGATTTGATCCCCAGCATCCCATACAGTCCCCTGCCAGGAGTGATCCCTGAGTGCAGAGCTAGGAGTAACCACTGAGCATCACTGGGTGTGGCCCAAAAAACAAAACAGAATTGATTGATGGGCTGATACCAGCAGCCTGGGTATGACACAGAGCACTGGAGTGTGTGTACTGCACATGGAAGCTCTCGGTTCCTCTGCCAGCACCTCAGCCCCCTGCCCCCCAGCACCACTGGGTGTGCACCTCCTAAAAAAGATGGAGTTGCTGCTGGAAGCACCCTAAATCCAAATGTGGACCCGGCTGCCCAGGGGCACCTAACGCCTCTTACCCACAAGCAGTCTGGGCCCAGGGAAGCGCCTGGAAAGGCTGGCAACATACCCCCTAGGCCAATTCAATCAGAGCATGGTAGGTGCCATATAAGAGCTCAGACATGAGAGCTAAAGGCATCTATCCTCAGCAGCTGCTAGTGCTGGAGACACCCCAGAAAAGCAGAATAGGCTGAGTCTGTACCCCATCTCCAGGAATCTCCAACCCACCCCTCTACGACCCCACCCTCACAGCCCTAGCTGTGAGCCAGGAGACCCTGCTAGTGCAGCCCAGGGCAAAGCCCAGCAGAGCAGAAGGGAAGGGTGGCGCAGGCCACGCCCCACTGCCACCTAGATGCCCTCACCTTCTGCTCCTCTGGCACCTGGATCTTCCGGGCCTTCTTCATGATGGGTTGGGGCTTTAATTCCTCCTCTGAGAATCGATGTCTCCGAGGATCAAAGGTCTCATGGCCGGGAATGCTGGACAGGGCTAGATCAGTGGGGTCGGGTTCAAAGGTCATCAGCACCTCCACGGTGTCCGGGTCCACTGGGCTGGGAGTGTCCCGAGAGGTGAGACCTTGGGAGAAATAAAATGTGTCACCTGGAGTGTGCATTTCAAGGAGGAGGTGCTCAGAGGAAATCCCTTGCTCATGGGAACCTATTCACCCCAGGAGGGCAGCAATGGCATGGAACCTACAACCTGGCAAATATAAATTCGGAGAGCCTCTAAGTCACAAAGATGCTCCGACGTGCTGGAACCAACGTGGTTTTTAGAAACAGGGAAACTGAGGCCCAACCATGCCAGGCTCGCCCTAAATAACATAAGCCGGGCTCAGAGAGACTGCTTCTGCAACCTCAGGGACTCCTCAGCCCAAAGCAGAGTGCTCAGGCTGGGCTGTTCAAGGAAAAAGAATGCAATGCCCCGCAAAAACTTCCAGTGAGATTTTTTTTTCTTTTTGGGGTCACACTCCGTGAAGCACAGGGGTTACTCCTGGCTTTGCACTCAGGAATTACTCCTGGCGTGCTCTAGGGACAACATGGGATGCTGAGAATCGAACCTGGGTCATCCGCAGCAAGTTAAATGCCCTACCCGCTGTACTATCGCTTCAGCCCCTCCAGTTCTACACTAGCTTAGCGGGGAGGTGGAGGGGCTAGGGGGGAAGAGGGACTGGTGGTGCCAGAGTTGTGGCGGCCTGTGCCTTTAAGAGCGAGCCAGCCGGGGCCAGTTGAGGACACAGGTTCAGGGCCGAGTCACGTGCCGGCGCCTGCTTTTCCCGCTCCGCCTCCCACCCGTCCCGGCGCCCGCGCGTTCCCCCAGACCCCGCCCCGTCCCGCGTGACCGCGCGTGCGCGAAGCACGGAGGAGGCGAGGACTCACGTGGAGTGGGAATGTGCAGCGGGGAGCAGAGGGCCCCGGTTCTGCCCGGAGGTCTGACCCAGCTCGGGGGTCCCCGACCTGCTACAGGGACCCCCGGAGACCCCCAAGGCTCTTTTCCCTCGATCGAACCTCGTTCAACCTCCACGGTTCGGGGCACCCAGCACCTTGGAGGGTGAATACAGAAGAACCGGGGCCCTTGATCTTCTCACCGTGGCCTGCCAGTTAGAGAGTCCCGGCCCTCTCTTCTGCCGGGAATATAAAGAAGGTCCAGAAGAAAGATATGGCAGTCCTCCCCTCTGGAGCGCCCCCGGCACCCGGCCACCTGCGATGCCAGCATTTCCAGCCCCTGGAGACCTAACCAACCTTGGCCTTCTCCCCTGCAGCGGGCCCCCCGTGAAGCCCCTAGCAGCCCAGGTCCGATTTCCAGCCCAGATTCCGGGGCCCAATGCACTCCCTAGCCAGTACCCACGAGTATCCGGATCCCCTGTCGCCACGTCCCCACTGCAAGGTCCAGCGCTACCTCCCCACTGGAATTTACGGCCCCAAGTCCCTCCTCTCCTGTGGATTGACACGTCCTAGTCTCTGACCCGTGAGGAGACAAGAGTCCTCAGCCCCAGAACCCGGCGCGCGGCCCGGGTCCCACCGCCCTGCCCTCGGGGCTCCAAGCCCCGACCCATCCCTGCCGCCGCACCTGCGCGGTGGCCACCGGCGGCCCCGAGGGCAGCCCGGGCCGGGGCGTGCCCCGGTGAGGAGCGAGGGGACGCCGAGCTGCAGGAGCCGGGCCCGGGCGAGGGTGCGGGCGTGCGAACGGGCGAGGGCGCCGGTGACTGGCCGCCGGGGGGCGGCGGGCTGGGCGGGAGCCCGTGCTCCAGCAGGAAGGCGTCCAGGTCCACGTACTCCACGTCGCCGAACGGCAGCGTCCGCTCCCACAGCAGCGGCGCCAACAGACCCGGGCCCGGCACGGCCCCTGGGCGCCCCCGAGGGGACCCGCCGCCCACCACTGCCCCGGCCGGGGCATCCGCCGGGCCCGCCGTCTCCAGGCCCGGCCCGGAGACCGTGGATGCCGGCGGAGCCGCCTTGCGCTCCTTTTCCTTCAGGAGACCTGCGGGGCCGGGAGGGAAAGATCGGGCAGAGTGGGGAGGGAAAGGAAGATGGAACGGGGACCCCGAGTCCGAGACGAGTAAAGGCGCGGACGGAAAGAGACCCCCACCCCCCGCCCCGCGGCGGAGATGAACAAAAAGGGGACAGACAGAGCAAGGACCCGAGCAGAGCAGCCCCGGAGAAAGAGGTGGGGGACAGTGATGGGAAGAGGAACAGAGGCTCAGAGAGAGATGCAGAGAGGAATTGGCACAGAAGGAAGGGGAAGGAAGTTGAGATGGAGCAGGGTACACACGGAGGAGGTGGAGGGTTGGGCAGGTGAGAGAAAAAATGACAGCTCTGTAATTCCTCTGAAACCTACCCGCTGCCCCCGTGCCCTCTTCTCCCCGCCCCCACTCTCAGGAAGGGGCATGCTGCCTGGGGCACATTCCTCATCCACAGACTCCAAAGGACCCCAGGAGGCCCCGCCCAAGCCCAGGTCACCCCGATGCGATGCGGCCATCCGACACGCCCCCCTCCCTCCGCCCAGGACCTCAGGGGTCCAGACCTGCAGAACCAAAGGAAAGGGCCTGGACTCTGGGTCCTCCGGACGCAGGGCGCCGGGAGCCCCGCGAGAGAGCTGGGGCTTAGACACCTGGCACTTTGGTGGAGGGAGGTGGGGCGATGCACTCCACACTCAGGAGGAAGCTAGCCCCCCACCGCAGGCCCCCTAATCTAACCCCCCTGCAAGCACCTGAATCCCTAGGGGAGAAGGGAGTGAGATGGGCCAGGGGGTGTGGAGGTTAGAACTCACAGCTAGCTGGTTCTTTGGGCTTGCTGGTCCCCTGCAGAAGGCTCCTCAGTCCAAGCAGCGCACCCCCTCCAGAGGGGCCCCCGGCCGGGCCGCCCAGCAGCAGTGGGGCCGGGGGCCTGTCGCTCACGGGCCGCGCCATTGCCGGGCACTTGCCCACAGGCTCACGGGCTCATGGAGAAACAAAAACCCAGCTTGGCAGTCCGTGGCGCACTCCTGTGGCTCGGGCGAGTGGCTGCCCAGGGGTGAGCGAGAGGCTCCTGCAAGCCTCCAGGATCCTCCAGAACACCGTAAATTTTAGGGGATCTGCCGACCTCCGCGCAGAAACGTGAAACTCTGGAAGGTCCCCGGAGACCATGCAGGCTGGGTAACGGAGCGGGGGTGATCAAATTAGGCCGTCGGCTCTTTGCAACGAGGGTTCAAGGGGTCCCTAGGCGCTCCTGCTACAAGGTGGGCGAGCCTGGCTCCTGCAAAATCTGCAGCTCTCTCCAGCAGAGGCTCTTTGCAATCCGCACCAAGAGGTGTGCGCGAAGGGGCGGGAGAGGGGGTAGGAGGAGGCGGCCGCGTCGGGGCGTGGCCAAAGCAAACTTCTTTCGCGGAAAAAAAAGCCAAACCAAAACACGAGACGCCACAGAGCGCACCCCTCCTTTCGGGCCCCGCCCGCCCGCGGGGCCTTGCACCCGGGCCGCGTGCCTCCCTCCGGCTGCAAGCACGGGCCAATCGAGTGCCGCACCCTGGAGACCCACAGCCAATGGGACCCCCAGATCGGTCCAGACTCGGGAGGGCGCGTGAGCGGTTCAGTGCACGAAGTTGTCTAGCTTTTTGGAGAGGCGGGACCCTGACCTACATTTATCCAATGGGAAACGGTGCTGGGGGCGGGACAGTGACCCACATCAGACCAATGAGGCAGACGAGAAGGGGAAGCACATGGCTCGGCGCGTGCCGCCTGACGAAGGTGCGGGGGGGGGGGGGGGAGAAAGAGTGAAAAAGCAGCGCCTCTTAAAGGAGCCGCGCATCTAAATTATTGTTCTGCTAAGCAGGAAGTCAAGTCAATGTAAAAAAGAAAAAAAAAATCGAGTAGTGGCATTACAAAGTGGGAGATTATCTTCTCGAAGTTTTCTTTCATAACCCAAGTGTTTCCCCGCCGCGTTTAGAATCAGACCAGAGAAACAGGAAGTATTCTGTCCCTTTAATATTAGTGTTTTGGGGGTAATTCCCCTTCCCTGATGGAAGGCTTGGGACGGCAGGCGCAGTCTTCAGGAGGGAGTCTCAGCGACCTTGTGGGGCACCATCCACTGTAAGGAAGATCACACCATCGGGGAGAAGACATTAGTCTGGAACATGCGAGAAGGGACAGAATACGGGGGTGGGGGGGGCGTGGGCTGGGCGCAAAGCTGCAGAGTGGAACCCGCCAGGTGCAGAAGCTGGGGCGGGGCAGGGGGGGGCGGAATGCAGATTTGGGATCGGCACTGGGCTGAACCACTGGGAGGGAGCAGGAGGGGACGCAGAGTCCCAGCTTTGGGTGGAACCACGCGAAGATATCCACGGGGGTGTGTGGGCTGTACCACGCAGCGAAGCCAGAGAGTGTTTTCAGCTCACTGGCCTGAACCACAGGGAAGCAGGTAGGGTAGGAGGGGATCCAGGTTAATTCTGTCGGGGAAATGACACCTGATGGGGGAGCTGCACAGGGTGGTACCACGTGGACACGGGGAAAGGGCTGGCCTGTACCATTTTGGAGAGCCAGAGTCATAGGAAATATCGGGAGGCCAATAATTAACCGTACCACCAGGAAGCCAAGGGGGTCGAGTCACAGACCAACTGGCAAGTTGCAAGCGGTGAAGAGGGAAGACAAATCATGGCCCCGCCACGGTTGGAAGGCAGGGAGGTGGACCGTACCACGCTGACACATAGGGAGAAGGGAGAAAGCAAGTGACAGCCCAGGAGGCTAGACCGAACAGACGCTGCAGAGGGGGGGAAGGGGACCGGGCTGTATCACGTTTGAGACACCGTGGGGAGACACACAGGCGGGTCAAGAGCAAGACGTGGCGGGGTGCGGGCTGGACCATACCATGCAGGCGGTAGTTGGGGCCTCGGCAGCGCCTCTCGGGGTGCCGGGGGTCCCTGTTGCCCCTCAAGGCCCTGTGGACCAAGGGCTGCAGGGGCCGGCCGTTACCGCTGAGGCTCTGGAAGATCTGGGACGGAGGATTCTGGCTCAGGAGCCTCAGAGAGTGCATCTGCCGTGAAGTGGGTGGGAAACGGAGTGAACCATGAATGGGTCTGAGGTTGTCACGCGGGAATCCCCGCCCCTGCGGGCTGATGGGCGTGGCTTAGAGGGTTCCCGCCTCCGTCCCGCCCTCAAAGAATGGTTAAGAGATTTAAGAGGTACCAAGACTGGACATAAGTTGCCAGGACAAGTGATGGCAGGCAGAAAGAAGTCACCTGGAGGGAGGTGATATTGAGGGCCCGGTCAATGAGGATCCAGGTAACGGTCTCTGAGCAGGGCGGGGTGCTGAGAGAGCCCTGATAGGTGATGAAACCGAAGGATTCAGGGAACAGAAGCTCCAGGCTCAGGTCTTGAAGAAAGTAGGCATCATCTGGGCCAGAGAGAGAGCAGGGGGTAAGGCACTGGCCTTGCACGCGGCCTACCTAGGTTCAGTTCCTGGAATCCCATATGATCCCCCAGAGCACCACTAGGAGTGATTCCTGAGTGCAGAGTCAGGAATCACCCCTGAGGTATGACCCAAACAGAGTATGACCCAAACACCAAATAAATAAATAAAGGCATCATCTGCAGGAGTACCACACCAGAGTGAAAGGTGCCTTTCTTGAAGGCCCCTCTTGTACCGCCCACCTCCAACCTGGCTGGGACTTACTTTTGTAGGAGATGCGGGTGATGGTGTCACGGTTAAGGAGGCGGCTGAGGAAGGAGTTGGAGGTGCCAGCCACCTATGGAGGGGGGGAACAAGGGTTGGGAGCAGGAACCCAGAAGTCTAAGGCCCATCTAAGTCCCCAATCCCTTCCTCCTTGGAGACCCAGGAATCTGATCTACCAGCTCCAGATCCCAGGGCCCTAGTCCCCCCACCCCTCCTGTTTCTGCCTGGGCTTACATTGACAAACAGGCTGAGAATAGCCAGGCCATTGGGGCCCCGGGAGGCAGCACTGAGGTTCCCATAGAGTTCCTGATTGAAGTGAATGAGCTGCACCTGGGCAGGAAACACAGAGAATGGGATTCCCCAGGGCAAGAGGAGAGGAGTTTGATGACTGCATCAAGTGAAGGGTTAGCACTCAGAGCACCAGAGACAGCACCACGGCAGCAGCACATGCTTTGCATGCAGGAGGCTGGTTTGTTCCTGCACATCACATGGTTGCCAGGAATGATCCTAAGCACAGAGCCTGGGCACCATAGGGTGTGGTCAGCCCTCCCTCAAATAAATAGGATTAGCAGTGCAGGTTGAAGGGAGTGTGACTAGTTCTATGAAGGATGTTTAAATGAGGCATTCAAAGGGGCATGAAGGGCTGAAATGATAGTACAGGAGGTAGGGCGTTTTGCCTTGCATGCAGTCAAGCCAGGTTCCCAGGCACCCGATATGTCCCCTGAGCCCTCCAGGAGAGATCCCTGAGCAGAGCCAGGAGTAAGCCTTGAGCACCACCTGGTGTGACCCCAAACCAAAAAATAAAAGGAGCATGACGTGGGAGGAATTGGGTTGATTTAGAGGGAAGTTTGAGAGTGAAAGATCAGTGGCCACTACCTCAGCAGAGAAGCCCTGGTGGTTGATCTGGTGTTCAGAGCCGGCTCCATCACGTGCTCCAAATAGTAGCCGCAGTTCACTGAGTCGGTGGCTATAAAGGAGGGGTCCCCCAGACACGTTGACCACGGGCCGCGGTGCAGGCAGGAAGGAAACGTGGCGGCCAGTGTTGTATAGGGTTCCCCGGAGCTGTGGGAGAGGTAGAGGCCATCAGCTGACCATGAAGAGAGCTACTTCCCAGGGGCCAGACAAAGAAGAGCACGTTCAAAGGTCCAAAGGTGACCTTTCTGACAGCAAAGAGGCTAAATGGGAGCAGAACTCAGTGAAAGGAGGGAAGGGTCATGATGCTGACTCTAGTGGGCAAGAATGAGCATTTCAAAATTTTTTTTCAATAACTCACATCTGTAACATTCTTGGCTCTGTGCTAATCTGGTTAGGAAACTGATTTTTTGGTTTTGGGTTTTTATTTGGGGTAGCGGTGTGGTGGGATGCAACTAGCAGTATTGGGAAGAGGCAGGGATTAAGCCCAGGCCTCTGGTATGAAGGGAGCACACATGGCCTTCTCCCTGGCCCTGGTTTGTGGGTTTTTTATTTGTTTCCTTTGGTTTTGGGGTCACACCCAGCAATGCTCAGGGGTTACTCCTGGCTCTGCACTCAGGAATTACTGACAGTGCTCGGGGGACCCTATGGGTTGTCAGTGATTTAACCCAGGTCGGCTGTGTGCAAGGCAAGTGCCTTACCTGCCGTACTATCACTCTGGCCCCTGGTTTGTGACTTGAAATATCTGCCTGGTGTGGCAAATGGATGCAGGAAGCAGAGGCAGGTGCCAGACAATGGTGATGGTGAGACAAGGAGTGAAAAGATTTAAATAGCATTTGTCTGGGAGACTAAAAAAGCTGTGGCTTAGAGACATGGACTGGGAGAGGGACACGCTCCTTGGTCTTAGGCTGGACAGCTGAGTGTAGGATGGTGGGAGAGTTATAAAAACTTGAGGCGACTGGCTGGAGCGATAGCACAGCGGTTAAGGTGTTTGCCTTGCATGCGGCCAATCTGGGTTCAGCATCTCATATGGTCCCCCGAGCACTGCCAGGAGTAATTCCTGAGCACTGCCACTAGTAACCCCTGTGCAACACCGGTTGTGACCCAAAAAGAAAAAAAAAAACTTGAGGTGAGGTAGCACAGTGGGCAGGGCGCTTGCCTTGCACGTGGAATCACATAGGGTCTCCCCAAGCACTGCCAGAAGTAATTTCTGAGCGTAGAGCCAGGAATAAGCCTTGAGCTTCACTGGGTGTGGCCCCCAAATAAAACAAAACCAAAAAAATTGCTATTACTGTGCTCAGTGGGCTGAGCACAGGCTTTGCATGCAGAAGGCCCAGGTTTGATCCCCCACATCACACATCCCCCGAGCAACCCTGAGCCAGAAGGAACCCCAGAGCATCCCCCATGTGTCCCCCAAACAAAAAAATACCAAATTTGTATTCCCAAATCAACAATGACATGGATTGTAGGTCCCCACTGTCCAGGTTAAAATCACAGTGCTGGTGCTCTTTAGCTGTGTAAACCCGGGCAAGGAGCCTAACCTCTCTGTGCCTCCATCTCTCTATCCGTATGATAAGGATAATAAAAGCAGCCATTATTGGAGTTGAGGTGAGGGATAGAGGGTTGCTCAAGCATTCCAAACGGTATCTGGCCAGATTTGCTGCTGCAGAGACTGAAAAGGAGAGGGGCCATCTTTGGGGAGGGGAGGGGCGTCTGCTGCAGAGTATATGGACCCTGCTCTCTAACCACTGTGCACTCCTCTCTTCCTGTGACTGGTCTTGTTCCTCAGCACCCCACTCCCAAGCCCCCTCCACTGATGCTCCTCCCATGCATGCAGTCACTCCTAGCCCGCACCCCCTAAGACTTACCTTCTCTCCACCCGTGCTGAGCCTCAGCGGGGGCAGAAAGGGGTCAAAGAGGACCCTCTTGAGTTCCACATCCACAGGGCTCTGCCGCTTCCCCACAGCGCAGAGACTCCAGGCTGCGTTCACCAGGCCCCAGAAGGGGGGCCCTGGGGGCAGGCACCAGGCAGGGAGGAAAGGGACTCAGAAAGAGGGGCTGGATCCCTAAGCTGTGGTCTGGACCAGGGACCTGGACTTTGGGGGGTCTGAGAGAGTAGGGGCCTGGGATCCTGAGAGGAGTTTCCTGAAATCCCTAACACCAACCCACCAACCAGTCTCGGATCAGAATGGGCTAAAATTCACTGGAGGAGGAACTACAATTCCCAGCAGGCCTCGGGGCCACCAGCCTTCCCACTGGTCGCCTGCCAGCGCCAGAGCCCATGGGAGTTGTAGTTCTTTCCTGCTCCTTGTCCCACAGCTGGATAACGAATGTAGTGGGGTGAGGAGTTGCAAGAGAAGTGGAGACAGCAGGGTTAGGGGGTAGGGAATACGGAGCCACCCATCCTGTGGTTCTCAGCAGGAACCAGGACCTACCTGCCGCTCGCGCCACACACACACACACACACACACACACACACACACACACACTTCCATTCCCTCCATTCCCCACTCTCCTCACTCCCACTCACTACTTGAAATGCGCATGTATAATGTCCCATGGTGAGTCGCTGGGGTTCGGTGGGCTCTGGAGGGAGGCAGGGAGAGAGGGGCTGGGACTCCTCGCTCCAGAGGGGGGGGAGGGCTGAGGGGCTGCCAAAGGAGGCAATCAGCGACCCGCTGCAGCCGCTGCACCTGGCACGAAGTTTCCCTGGAGATTCTCCTTGTAGCTCCACCAGTCCTCCGGGTCAGGTGCAGGTCCAATGTGCGCTGGGGAGAGAGCATACTGAACCCATCTCCCGGGCACTCCCACCCCCGCCCTCCCTCAGGGGCTCCGGGGACCTTACCTGCTGCCCCCAGTGCGGCCCAGAGTATCAGCGCTCGAGGGGCGCCCAGCCCTGCTGCTGGCCCCATTCCCTGGAGGCCTCGGAGCAACCCCTTCCCAAAGCCCTGCCCCCCTCAGCTCCTCCCTCTCCTCCTCCTGGGACTCTCCCTCCAGGACTAGCAGCCTCACCTCCCCACAGGGAGTCTGGATTCCCCCCACGCACACACCAAATGCCCAGAGAGCAGGGACCCTGAAACCCACTCCCCTCTCCTCTCCCCTCTCTCTGCCTCTCCTACTTTTCCTCTTCCCCCCAACCTTTCAGCCTCCCTCTGCCTCGGATTCCCCGCCTCTCTGCCTTCTGCCTCTCCCTCGGGTTACCTCTCGCGTCCCAGCCCACACCCCCCTCTTGGCTCCGTCTGCACCCCGCTCCCCCGGCCTCCTAACTCCATGTCTCCATCCTGCTCCTCTCACCTCCTCTCCTGCTTCTCCCACCTCCTCCTTCCCTGCCTCTTTTCCCTTCTCCCCTTCTTCACCTCCTCCTCCCTCTCTCCCTCTCCAGCTTCTCTCTCTCTCCCCCCTCTCTCCCCCCTCCTTCCCCTTCTCTCTCTTTCTCTGTCTCTCTCTTCTCTCCCGTCGCTTCCTCCCTCCCTCCTCCCTCGCTTCTTGGTTTATTTAATTTTTTCCCGGGGTGTGTGTTGAGGGGTGGGGGGCAGGTGCCCGATCCCGGGGGTGGGGGGTGAGTGCTGGCGGACGGGGTGTATGCGTGGGGGTGTGAATACCCAAGGGGCAGGGTGGAAGGGTGGCGGCGGAGGAGGAGCTGGGACTCTGGTCTTGGGGGTGGCCGGGACACCTGGGGCCCCGGGAGCTGGCAGTTCTCATCCTCCGCAGAAGGGGGAAGGGAGGGCGCTTAAGGTGGAGCTGGGAGTGTCCGCGGCCGTCTCCACATTCCGGGCCGCTGGCGTCGGATGATGGGGGTGCTCCCGGATCTCCGGGGCCCAGGGGGGGAACCTGCATCCGTGCTCGCAGCCCCCCGCCTGGTGCTCCACTCGCTCGCAGCTAGGGGGGCTGCCTTAACGCTGCCGGGGGATCCCCTGGGAGACCAGGGCGCGGTGCTTGCAGCTGGCCAGGAGAGGGAGGCAGAGAGCTGGCGAGGGAGCGAAGGGCGGAGGCGGGGCGGGGCGCGGGGAACTGCGGATCCCCGGCCGGGAAGGCCTCCCTCCCCCACCCCCACCCCCCACCCCTAGAGCCCGCGCGGGGGCTAGGGGCCCCGCGACACCCCGAGGGCGAGAGGGGCCGACGGGGAGGCGCCGGGTAGAGCCACACAGCGGCGCGGCGAGGCGGGTCCATGAACAGAGATGGAAAGAGCGATAGAGGCCCGACACTTGCACGAGTGGAGAGTGGAGAGAGAGGGACCAAGGGATGGGGGACCGACCGCCCAGGGAGGAACACTGAGCGACACGTGGAAAGAACGAGAAAATCCAGAGAAGGAAAAAGTCCGTCGGTGATCCCTGACCCATTCCCGGGGACAGAGGGGATCAGAGCTGTTGTGTGCTGACCTGTGCTTCTGAGGGTTTTGGAATTGGGAGCTGGGGGTGTCAGAGTTGTCCCAAGCTCTTCCCCCAGAGGCCCTTCAGCCTCCTGCCAACACTAATAGGACCCAGGGCGCCGCGGATGTTCCAGAACTTAGTCTTTAAAGTCACTTACTGCCCCCTCCTCTTTATTTTGTTTTCAAACGGCCTAGCCACAGAACCCCAGAAGTGTGTGTGTGTGTGTGTGTGTGTGTGTGTGTGTGTGTGTGTGTGTGTGTGTTTTGGACCACATCCAGCAATCCAGCAGTGCTCAGGGGTTACTTCTGGCTCTGTACTCAGGGATCACACCTGGTGGTTCTTGAGGACCATAAGGGACAAGGGAGGGAGGGGGGATTATCAAATCTGTGTTGGCTACATGCAAGGCAAACACCATCTCCTCTGTACTTTTTCTCTATCCCCTCCTTCTTTCTTTGTTTTTTTTTGGGGGTCACACCCGGCAATACACAGGGGTTACTTCTGACTTTGCACTCAGAAATTATTCCTGGTGTTGCTAGGGGGACTATATGGGATGCTGGGAATCGAACCTGGGTTGGCCAAGGCAAACGCCCACCCACTGTACTATTGCTCCAGCCCCTCTACCTCCCCACATTTTTAAAGGTACTTCCAGCACCCAAGGTTCTGCCTGCCCCTCCCCTAGTCACTGTTGTGCATAGCTCCTCAGCACTCCTGGACAGTGAGTCCTTCCCCTTCCCCTTCCTTGTTGTGAGGTTGCCAGTCTCTCTTCTGTCTTTCCAGATGGGATGTCACTTCCTCTGAGAGAAGTTTCTGGATTCCAGGTTGGGTTCAGGACTCCTCTGTGCTCTTCTGATGAGCTGGGCCACTTGCCTGATGGAGGGGCCTGATCAATACCTGGGTCTGATTCCTGGCACCCCTGCGGGAGTGATCCCTGAACACAGAGTCAGGAGTAAGTCCTGAGAACCGCGGAGGGTGACCCTAAAACACAAAACTAAAAACCGCTTTACTGATGGGGCCGATATCTACTGGGTTCTCACCCAGAGCTGACCCTCCCCTGTGCAGAAGCCTGGAGGATCCAGCTTAGGGACCTCCTATCTCAACTGTCACCTCTGGGTTCCTGGTAGGGACTGTTCCTCTAACTGGGGTTCCTAGGCCCTCACCCCCTGCCATCAAATTCTTCCTTAATTCTCCTGCTCTATCCTTAAGGTATCCACAAGCACAGCTGGTCTCCAGGGAGTTAGTAGAGGGCAGGGAACTTGCCCAGCGCTGGCTGGGGCCACCTGGGCAGCCTGCCCAAGAGCACAGGCCCACTGGGCTCTGTGCCCAGAGGCGGGGGTGGAGGCCGGAGGTGGGTCCCAGATGTGAATTTCATGCTCATTTGTCTTGGTTGCTGGGAACAAAGTGTGGGTCACCAGGAACAGATGGGGCTGGCCCACGACAGACTTTCATCTCCCACCTCCTGGTCCTGGGTGGGAGGCAGTAGAGCCCCAGAGATCCAGGGCTGGGTGGTTCCCACAGCCCCTCTGGCTTCCTCACCCCTCAGGCTCTTAACTCCTGAGGGTCTTTGGCGCCCTCCTCCTTGCCCCCTGCTCATTCTTCCGCTCACATTTAAATAAAAACAAACCTAAAGGCTCTGTTTCTGTGTCAGGCACTTCTTTTGAGTCTGCCCCTTGTTCCAGCCAATTCATTTCATTCTTGGACTACACCATGAATTGTTAGCGGCACCCCTGGTTTAGAAATGAGAAAGTAAAAGGCCAAGCAAGAATGTGTAGGGGTTGGTTTGGGAGCTACACTGAAATCAGGAGCCACTGCTGGCTTGGAGCTCAGGGATCACTCCTGATAGTGTTCAGGGAACCATGGGGGGCTGGTCATCAAGCCCAGGGCAATACATGCAAGTACAAGTACCCTGCCCCATCTTCAGCCTCAACAAGATTTTGCTGAGCATGTACTATGCGTCATCCTGCTTTCTTGTGTGTGTGTGGGGGGGGGGGGGTTATTTTTTTTTTTATTATTGTTTCGAGTTTAGGGTCACAACCAGCCAGGGCTTACTCCTGGTGGTACTTAGAGAACCTTTTGCAGTGCTGGGGATTGAACCTTGGTTGAATATGTGCAAGGGAAGTGCCTTAACCCCTGTCCTGTCTGGCTCTTTTATTTTGGGGCTGGGGGAGGGGCCACACCAGGAGATGCTCCTGGCTCTGCACTCAGGAATTATTCCTGGCAGTCCTCTGGGGAAGTTATGGGATGTTGGAATAGAACCTAGGTTAACCGCGTTAAGACAGATGCTCTAGCCCCTATTGCTTCAGTACCTGGCCCTTTAAACTTGGGGAGGAGGGAGAGTCACTAGGGGGACCAGTACAGTGCTGCGGATTGAACCCAGGCCTCCCACTGACCTTCCGTTCTTTGAGTCATCTGTCGTGGATCTTTCCAGATGAAGGACTACAGCCATGAACAGAATGAGATCCCTATTCCCATGGGGCTCACTTTCTGGTGGAAGAGACAGAGAAACAGCTAACACAAGATTAGCATTTACTGTAGGGCCTGGAGAAATGCCCCTAAGGGCTGAGACCCTGCTTTATCTGTGGAAGGCGGTTCCATACCCATCACCATAAGGTCCTCTGAGCACTACCAACTGTTGTATGGGGATCAAATTCCACTTGGCCCTTCACAATTGGCTGTCCTCCCAGGAAAGGGTTTAAGGTTTAGGCTATGCTTCGAGACCAGGTGGACCCTAGACCCATCTTTAGATGTCACTGAAAAGCCCTTAATTCCTTTCTCGGATCATCATAAGATCCACCAGGAACGAAATGGACTTAAAATGGGAACTTTCTGCAAACTAGCACTGAGCTCCTTTCCTCTGCTCTATCTCTGGCCTTTTCTGGCTGCTAGACTTTCAGCCAATCAGCTGGAAGGAAACGTAGTGACGTCACGCCAGCCCTTTCACTGGACTGGCCACTGGGGTAGCATACATTGCCATGTGGGGGCTCCATAGATTTTTCGAGGCCTTCTTTATGTGTCTCTCAGACCACCTGTCCCCTGCCAAGCAAGGATTAGGTGTTGGAGAAAGATTCCCCAAGCCTTGAAACTTTATTGTGGGGTCTGGCAAGAAAAGTGCCCAGAGGCTCAAAGCCCTGGTCACATGTAATCTGCTGCCTTGGTTAAGTGTCCCTCTGGCTGTATTGCGTCTGCGCATGCAACATGATGTCAGGGGCTTCTCGGCGTCTGATTGGCTGGTAGCAAACCACGTGTCCAGGCTTTGCCTTGCTCACTGCAGCGTCTCTTCGTCCCGCGTTGAGGCCCCCTGGCTCCGGTTCAAGTAGTCAGGCCCAGGGTTTGGAGTGGGAGCCCGCAGTCTGTGGCAGCCCCCCGCGCGCTCCTCCTGCTGCAGCCGCCGAAGCGGCCGGGCCCAGCGTGGCCTCCAGGGCAGCGCGAGGCTGTGGTGGTCCAGGACGAGGCGCGCCAGGTCGGGGCCGCCAGCTGCACTGCCCAGCAGCAGGTAGTCAGTGCCAGGCTGGAGGCTCAAGCAGCCGCAGGTCAGATCGGTGTGGGGCACCCAGGCGTCCTGCGTGCCTCGACGCAAGGCCTGGGTGCGCTGCTTGTACACGGCCAGCACGCGCACTGCCAGCTGCCGCCACGCAGGGCCGGCCGCCACAACAGACCCCAGCACCT